AAGAACAGTATTACTTCTGATCCCATGGGAGTACAGGCACTGAGGAACGATATCAATTGTGATCCCAAAGAAGCAGGGCCCTTCCTTGGTAAGGAAAAGAGCACAGACTAGGAGATCAGTGACCATACTTCTCCCTGGATCACACCGAAAATTTCCAAACCCCTACAACTAGCTCTGAAAACAGCAGTGCAAAAAAAGCTTAAAGCTTGGAAGAGTGACCCCCTAGCCCACCCCAGGAACAAAGCCCAACTTTAACATCCATTTTTTATCCCACAATACTCTCTTATGTTTTGTTTGGTGCACAGAAATAGAGTGGTGGATCAGTGGAACAGATCAGTGGAATACATAATACACAGTACTAAATGACCATGGTAAAGTCAAAGTCAAAAAATAGTCTAGAAAAAATAAGGAAACAAACAAAAGAACCCGACCATAAAAATCTACTATAGTGACAAGACAGAGTAAGACACAAACTCAGAAGAAGATAATGATGTCAAAACAGCTACAAGCAAAGCCTCAAAGAAAAGAAAAGGTGAGTTGGACACAAGTCCAACAAGAATTTCTCAAAGAGCTTAAAAAATGGTCTTCAAAATCAAATAAGAGTATTAGAGGAAAAAGTGGGGAAAGAGACGAGAGCAATATAAGGAAATTATGAAATGACAATTAACAGCTTGCACAAAAAAAACTGAAGAAAATACACCTTAAAAAACAGAATTGGCTAAATGGAAGAAGAGGCACAAAACTTCACTGATGAAAGTAACTGCTTAAAAAAAAAGTTAGCTAAATGGAAAAAGAAGTACAAAATAACTCCTTAAAATATGGAAGGAAATAACTCCTTAAAAATTAGAAGTGGGCAGTGGGAAGTTAATGACTTCAGAAGACATCAAGAAATAACAAAACAAAGTCAAAAAATTACATTTATAAGAAAACAAAGTATCTCATCAGAAAAACAACTGACCTGGAAAATAGATCAAGGAGAGATAATTTAAGAATTACTGAACTATCTGAAAGCCATGATCAAACAACTTAGACATCATATTTCAAGACATTATTAACAGAATATTGCCCTGATATTCCAGAACCAGATGGTAAAACAGAAACTGAAAGAATCCACCAATCACCATCTGAAAGAGATCCCAAGATGAAAATTCCCAGGAATATGATAGCCAAAATCCAAAGTTCCCAGGTCAAGAAGAAAACATCTCAAGCAGCCAGAAAGAAATGATTCAAATACTATAGAGCCACAGTCAAGCTCACACAAAATTTAGCAGCTACCATCTTAAAGGAATGGAGGGCTTAGAATATGATATTCTGGAAGGCAAAGGAAGATTACAACTAAGAATCACCCACCCAGTAAAACTTAGTATAATCCTTCAGGGAGAAAAACTGATATTTAATGAAACAGAGCATTTTAAGCATTCCTGATAAAAAGAACCAAACTAAGTAGTAAATCTGACATTCAAACACAAGACTCAAGAGAAGCATAAAAGAGAAACATGAAAGAGAAATAATAAGGAATTCAATAAGTTAAATTGTTTATGTTCCTATACAGAAAGATGATACATGTAACTCCTAAGTCTTTATCACCATAAGGAAAGTTAGAAGGCATCTACATAGGCAGAGGGCATGGGTATAACTCGATTATGTTGGAATGATCTAAAACAAATTAATAAGCAAGAAAGAGAGATGCAATGGGAGAAAAGGGAAGGAAGAGGAAGGACAGGAAAAATTATCTTACATAAAAGAGGCATACAAGGAAGAATTTTTACAGTGAAGGGGAAAATGGTGGCAAGTGAGCAACACAAATCTCATTCTGATCAGAATTGGTTCAAAGACAGGGAAGTAAATAAATATATATATATATAATATATGTATATTATATATATAGGTACGTAGGTATATAATATAAATAAATACATACATTCAATTGAGTGTAGAAATCTATCATACTCAACAGGGATTCAGTATAAATATACAAACAAATATGATAAAGAAGTAGATCTAGTCAAAAATGTCAAAGGAATCAATGAAAAAAAAATGTGAAGAAAGGTAGCCTAGCAATATCAGATCTTAAACTGTATTACAAAGCAGTAATCATCAAAACTATCTGATACTGACTAGGAAATAGAGTGGTGGATCAGTGGAACAGATCAGTGGAATACATAATACACAGTACTAAATGACCATGGTAATCTAGCATTTGACAAACCCAAAGATCCAAACTTCTGGGAGAAGAACTCATTGTTTGACAAAAACTGCTGGGAACACTGGAAAACAGTATGGCAAAACCTAGGTATAAAACAACATCTCACATTTATACCAAGATAAGGTCAAAATGGGCTCATGATTTAGACATAAAGGGTGATATCATAAGTAAATTAGGGGAGTACGGAAAATTTTTTTTGGATCTACATATAAGGGAAAAAGAATTTATGACCAAGCAAAACATAAGAGAACATTATGGGATACAAAATGGATAATTTTGATTACTTTAGATTAAAAAGATTTTGCAAAAACAAAACCAGTGCAGCCAAGGAAAGAAGGAAAGCAGGACACTGGGGGAAATATTTTACAGCAAGTTTCTCTCATAAAAGCCTCATTTCTCAAATATACTGAGAACTGAATCAAATTTATAAGAATACAAGTCATTTCCTTATTGATAAATGGTCAAAGGATATGAATAGGCAGTTTTCAGAAGAAGTAATAAAAGCTATCTACAATCATATGAAAAAAAATGCTCTAAATCACTATTGATTAGAGAAATGTGAATTAAAATAACTCTGAGGAATCACCTCACACCTGGCAGATTGGCTAATAAGACAGAAAAGAGAAATGGCAAATATTGGAGGGGATGTGGGTAAACTAGGACACTAATGCATTATTGGTGGAGTTGTGAACTGATCCAATCATTCAGGAGAGCAATTTAGAACTCTACCCAAAGGGCTATAAAATTGTGCATATCATTTTGATGGGGTATGGGCCCAAGCTGAGACCTTTGCCCTTCACCCCCAAAAAGAATTTGAGTGCCATTTGTTTACAGACCCCAGAAAACCCTTGAACTTTCTTTGAACTTTTACCTGGTCAAGGAAGTCCCCTGAAGTTATTCTTATTCTTATTCCTATCTTTATCCCTAGGCCCTATCTCCCAATTCTTTGTTACCCTAATTTAAGCCTAGCCCTGGGTTATATATCCCATCCTAGATCTTATCCAGACCCCATTCAATCTCCCAGACACTCCCCCAGCTTCAAGATCCTCCCTAAACTCTTCACCTAGTTACCCTAACTTCAAGATCCTCCTCCCAGCCCTTTCTCTAATCACCGAAAACTACTTGGCTGTATAAGATCCATCCTGGCTGCCCTTTAAGGCTGAGACTTATTCATGTCCTTATGAGGGTCAAAAACCTTCAGATTCCTTAAGAGTCTAGCCTATATGGTTCATCTTTAATAAACCTTGTCTTTAGCTGAAAGAAGGCTTGGGTTGAATTCTTTCAGGCAGGACCTGTGTCTAATGATTTTGGGGTCCAAGCACCCCTAAATCTCTACACCTCAACACTTTGACCTAGCAATGCTACTACTAGATCCCAAAGGAAAATGAAAAGGACTTATATGTACAAAAACATTTACAGCAACTCTTTGTCACAGCACAAAATAGGAAATTCAGGGGATATCCATAAATTGGGGAATGGCTGAACAAATTGTGGTATATCAGTGTAATGGAATGCTTTCAGAAAAACCTGGGAAGACTTACATGAACTCATGCAAAGTGAAACAAATAGAACCATTAAAACATTGTACACAATAACAGGAATATTGTATGATGATCAACTGTGAATAACTTAGCTATTCTCAACAATATGGCAATCCAAGACAATTCCAAAAGACTTAGGGTGAAAAACTGCTATCACCTCCAGAGAAAAAATTGGAGTCTGAATGCAGATTAAAGCATACTTTTTAACTTTATTTTTCAGGTTTTCTTTTGGGTTATTTTTTTGTCTGAATTTTCTTTTACAACATGGCTAATAAGGAAATGTTTTGCATGTTTTGCACATGTATAATTGCTTGCCTTCTCAAGGAGGGGGGTAGAGAAGGAAGAGAAAGAATTTGGAACTCAACACAAAAAAAATGAATGTTAAAAAAAGCTTACATGTAATAGAAGAAAAACTATAGGGGGAAAAAAGTAGATACAAAGTTCTATGAGAACATTTGAGGACCCAAACTAGCAACAAAGTTGGACCACTTTCACCTAGAAGTCAGGACCAAGAGATCACCCCTCAAAGACTCAGCCAGAATTTGAAGGCCAACATTTTAACAGCAAAACTGCATCGAATTAAGAGGCTTGTACTTTCACTCAAGAAACTCAGGCTCAAATTCCAGCTCAGGTAGTTATGAGCATAGTAATTACAGAAAAATCACTTGACCTCTGGAACTTCTTCATCTATAAAATGGAGATAATAAAATACTTGCACTGGTAAGGTTAGCATTTATATAAGCATTTTAAAGTTTACAAAGGTATTTGCATGCATTATCTCATTTGACCCTCAAAGCAATTCTCTAAGAAAGGTCCTTCAGGTATTATCATTCTTACTTCACAGATGAGGAAAATGAGGCTCACGGGGTCACAAGGCTAGAATCAGCTGGGTTTGAACCCAGGCATCTCAACACAAAGGCCTGAGCTCTTTCCACTAAACCAAGGGCCTCCCTTCTGTAGGGGAAAAGGCCAATTGGTAAAATTTACAGTACCACATAAACGGGGAGGGGGAGAGAATTTTCGGGTGCTAATCAAGCTCCTCTACAGAACACTGCTTTTTAATATGAAACATACTGAAACACAGAATGGGAAATTAACTGGCTATAAACAGCCTTCTGGGGAGGAGGTGGCTGGGCAGAAATCCAAATTAGGAAGCAATATACAACTTCTCTCCTCTAGAAGCCTGCAGGCAGGCGCTAGTGCCAGCCCCTTCTCTCCGCCTCCTATGCTGTCTCCACCTCCTACCCCACAGGCTTAGACAACAACTTCAGAGGGAGGTGGAGGGGAAGCAGAGAAAGCTGACACCCCGAAAGGCACTGTGGGCACGGTAGTTCTGGACACACAAGGACACACAAGAGCCCACAAGGTGGACTAGGCGAAGAGACAACAGAAAGTACTGAAGAGACCGTGATGCTACGAAGAGAAAAATGTGCAGTTCCTCTTAAAGTAAGAAGAAACTAAACCTACAAGAAACAAGAGGCTTAGACAGGTTTAAGGACAAATCTCCCAGAATGCCTTGCGTGCTCGGCCGCTACGCAGCCGTCGCGCCTGCGCAGGGAGACAGCCGGTTAGTTGCGGCTCTGAGACTAAAGGCTCAGACGGCTGGATCGGGAAGAGGCTGTGGAGGAGAATGTGGGTTTTCGGCTATGGTTCCCTCATCTGGAAGGTCGATTTCCCCTATCAGGACAAACTGGTCGGGTCTATCACAGGCTACAGTCGGCGCTTCTGGCAGGGCAGCACCGACCACCGCGGGGTTCCTGGCAAGGTGAGAAACTAGCCCCCGACCTTCGCTGCTGTCCCTTCCCGCCAGGGGCCCCGGCTCTCCCGTAGCGACCCCGACACCATCCCACCACAGCACACACCCCCACAAAACCCCCTGTCCTCCACCGTTAAGGCTTCAGGGACGCCTAGACAAAGTTATTCTACTCATTCTTACTCCATCTTCCTCAACCATCCCTAATTAACTCCTCCCAAAATGCATTAAGGAGAAAACTAGGAATGTTGACTGACATCTAGGGGTACTGCTCATTTCTGAAGAAATCGCTATGGCAGAGGCAAAATTTGTAGGTTTATAACTAGGAAGAGGGCCCCCACTACATGGGTTTTAGTGCTAAAGACAAGGTTTCATGGATCAAGTCACACAGACCAAACAGGAGAAATAAGTGTATTCACTTGCCTTGATCAAGCAGCACTGAAATCACCTTGACTGCAATTTATTTTCCAGGAATTAAATGCCTGGAAATTTCTACATTCGGCTATTAAAACCAGTACAGTTTGGAGATATATAGATACAGAGAGAGAGAGAGAGAGAGAGAGAGAGAGAGAGAGAGAGAGAGAGAGAGAGAGAGAGAGAATGATGTCATAACAAATCATTAACCTTTCCAAACTCTTTTCATGGTACTCAAGTTACTTATACTGAGTGATAAAAAGGAAGGCAATTTTGTTATCACAACTGAACGGCTGTTTCCTGAATGCACTTGGTAATGATAAATATGGAATCACTATTAACCAAAGTGTATTTTTCTGTTACTTTCTCACTAATCCTAAATTAAGGAAGTTTTGCTTCCTTGACGTTTTCTTTATCTTCCTCTCAACTATTACCGTCCTCTTTTATAGGCATTCATTTATATAGATAAAACGTAGCCAGAGTTAACAATCCATGGCTTACCTAAACCAACCTTGTATTGTCTTAAATGTTTGGTTTACATCCTTTATTCTTAAAGAAAATAAAGTTTTGAAAACACAATCATCTGAATTTGATGATCCCTTTTCTTTTAAATATTGATACTGTGTAAATTGATGAAACTTTTCTTAAAATAAGTTACTCAACCTTAATTGTTTACTTTTGACAAAGTACATTCCTCACAAATAAGAAGTAGGTAGGGCAAGAGTGATTTTGGCAAAGTACATTTCCTCACAAACATGAAGTAGGTAGGGCAATTGTCATCCTCATTTTTGCAGAATAGGAAATTTAGTCTCAGAAGGGTGAAGTGACTTATCCAGTCATAAAGCTTAAGGGTCAGAGCTAGGATTTCAGCCTAGATAGAGAAGATCATTGTTTTCGAATTCACCTTTCAGATACTTGAGTCAGAGAACCATTGCCCAGAGTTTAGTTTTGTTTTTTTAAATCCATCCGATTAATGAGAACAAAAGGGACAGAAAGGGTTTTTTTTTAAAGGACAGATAATATATAGATATATGGGAAGGGAAAAAAATCATAAGGCTCTAACCCAGAATAACAGAGGTACCTAACACTTGCTCAGAGTTTTAAAGTTTACAAAATTTACAAACAGTACGTCTTTTGATCCTCACAACCTGAGTATTGTCACCAATTTTTTATCCCCCAAGTTTACTGATTTGTTTATGATCAATCGCTATTAAGTGTCAGAGACAGGATTCAAACCTAGGTCTTCACATTAATCTTCAGCTGTAGGACTTGAAAGTAGCAGTTTTATAACAGATCAGAAATGAGGAGGCGCAATTAAGACATCAAAAAGTTGATCAAAAGCAGATTGATCTCCACCTAAAATTTAATGAGGTGTTACTTTCTTAGGTTGATATGCCGAGGGAGGGGTTAAAAATTGGAAATGAGATAGTATTTGAATGGTGGGGCCAGTGCAAATACCACAGACCAACAGAAATTTCTGGGAACAAATAGTGATTTTGAAAATTAGGCAAAACTGCTTAACATTTAAATTTTCCACATTTCAGTCAATTTTGAAATGATCCCTTAAATTGTTTTTCCATAGGAAAAACAAAAGCATCTTAGAGGAAAACAAGTTTATCAAATTATATATGTACATATACATATATAGTAAAAGGCAGATGATATACTAGTTTTCACTAGCATATTAGCTAGCACTATTATACTTTATTAATCTTATAAAATGAAGTTGGTATTGGCATCAAGAAGTATTATTATAGAAGAAAAATTACAAATTAGGGACAAATTTTGATAAACCAAAATAGTAGAAAAAATTTTTATCCATTTTTACACAATATCAAAACAAGTTAATATGCAGGATGTATTTGCTGATTAGCTTTTCTATTCCTGTTATGAATACTTAGCACTCTTTTTTGTCAGATAATAAAAACTGACCCCTTGAAAGGTTTTGCAAAGCCACTGAGTTCCAGACAATTTAACCTAGTTTTAAATTATCCCTTTTCAGTTTACAAAGGAAAATTATTTTTAAAGGTATTAGTTCTATACTGCAGTACTTTAAAAGTGATTTCATGGGTGTGAGTACCTTAATGAATCCTCTTGAGTTGCTGTGACTAAAAAAATAGGTCACTTAGTAGCCAACCCTCAGGTGATGAATCTATCAGAATGTAATTGGATTTAGATCAGTTTTTAAATGGGCATCAGCTTCCTCTGCTGTAAAGTGAGAGAACTGACTAGATGATCCTTAAGGATCCTTCTCTCTTTAAATCTTATGATCTTCACCTTATACCTCTTTTCAGAACTGTTTATCGTGATTAATTTGGTCATTTATTATTAAAAGTGTAGTGAAAGGAACAATTGATTTGGAGTCAAGACTATGATTCTAATCTGGACTCTGATACATATCAGTTACCTTGGGCAAGCCATTTAACTTCTTTAGGTCCTGGCTCAACCTAATCCAGGCCTAGATCTGGCTACTTTAGGCAGGGTTCAGAAGTTGCTCACCTGAAAAAGGAGAATAACATTCCCAACCTGATATGTGAAGATAACTTTTTTTTAAAACCTTAAAGTGTTGGGGGAAGGAGAAAGCACTAACAACTAGCGGGATAAAGAAACTTCCCACGGGAAGCATTTGAGTTGAGTCTTGAAAGAATCTAAGGTTAAGAGACAGAAATGAAGGAGTGAATTCTAACCAAAAGCAACAGCCTATACAAATTCAGTAAATTAATCATTTATTAAAAGATTATGAGCTAGCCCAAGTGCCACCTGTAGTGCATTCAATTAAAAATCAATCAATCCCTGCCCCCAAGGTATTTAGGTTCTAGAAGTTGAAGATGGAAAAGCAAACAGACCATTTTGATAGTGAAGGTAGGAAAAGTGCAAAAAGTTTGTTTTAAAAAATAGACTAGAGCCATTCTTGTGAAGGGTTTTTAATGCCAGAGGTTTTTGTATTTTATCCCAGAAGTAACAGTGAGTCACTAAATTCACAGGCAGTGGATCAACATGGCCAGACTTTTATTTGAGAAAGATAACTTTGGCAGCCATGTAGAAGATATAATGGAATGAGGAAAGACTAAATGACAAAATTCCAATTAGGAGGTGGTTGCAGTAGTCCAGGCAAAAGCTGATGAATACCTGAACTAGGCAGGTGCCATCATATTGTAAGCTTCTTGAGGGCAGGGACTATCTTTTGCTCATTTTTGTATCTTTAGCACAATGCCTGCCACATAGTAGATGGCTTAATAAATGTTTATTGATTGATGTGAATGAAGAGAATAGAATATGAGAGATGTTGTAGAAGTAATGTCTACTAATTGAGGATAATTGTAAACCTGGGGGAGAAAAAAAATGGTAGCCATGCCCTCAAAAAGAAATAGAGAGGTTTGAGGGAGGAATTGGTTTAGGGAGGGAAAACAGTGAACTCCATTTACAAAAGATTGAGTTTGACATCTTTGGAAATCCAGTTGTTGATGCGTAAAAGAAAAGTATCCATTTAGAACTAAAACTTGAAGGAGAATAAGCCTGGATCTGAGAGCCATCTACATATTGAAAATTGAACTCTTAATCCTACACCTCCAAGAGAACAAGGCCCAAGACAAAGCTTTAGGGGACACCTACTGGGTGAGGATGGGACATGAATGAAGACCAAGCAAGGGAAACTAAGCAGTGGTAAAATAAGTAGGAGAACCAGGAGAAAGCAAGGTCTTAAAAACTTGAGATGACTGGTTTTCTGGCTATTCTCTGGACATAACACTCGTGTCTGCCTCTATTTTAGTTAATGACACATCTAAAGAGATGGAAGGATCCCCCTCCCTAGAGGTTATTAAGCAGAAAGTGGGCAACTACTTGTTGAGTATGTTATGGTGGCAATTACATGTGTGGGTTGGATTAAATAGCTACTGAGGTCCCTTTCTCACTCTCAGAATTCTGTGATATTCTAGTTTTAGAGAGTTCCATATACATTAATAGGTTATAGTGATTTGCTCAGGTCACATTGCCATCAAGTCAGTTGTAGGACTTAAACTCAGGTCTTCCCAACTCCAAGTCAAATTCTATCCACTACTGCCTCACTGGCTCTGTATCACCCTATCCCATACAGTATTGAAAAATAACATAAGTTAATGCTGATTTTAAAATAATCAACATCATTTAGGGAATTCATCTGGGAAGTAAATAATGTTATGAGCTTTTTTTAAGTATTTCCAAAACACTAAGTAAACTCAATCTATCAAAGAAACCACATGTCTGAGTAGTTTTTTAAAATCAGAATTTTTATTAATGAAGGTGGCATAACAGAAAGCTAGCAATATTTATAGTATTTTTTTAATGTTAAATTGAGTTACATTTTTGAGAAACAGAATGATGTAGTAAAAAGAGGGCCAGGCCAGCCTGGTGTCAAGGAAGACTTAGAGATTCAAGTCTTTTTTTTTTTTTAAGGCAGTTGGGGTTAAGTGACTTGCCCAGGGTCACACAGCTAGCAAGTGTCAAGTGTTTGCTCTGAGGCTGGATTTGAACTCAGGTACTCCTGACTCTATCCACTGCGCCACCTAGCTGCCCCCTGAGATTCAAGTCTTAACCTCTAACAAATACTAGCCATAAAATGAGTAGGATAATACCTTCAGTTACCTCCCTAACAGTAAGGATCAAATAAGATAATGTGTGTAAATTGCTTTATAATATGAAAACTGGGATATATAATTGTCAGGTCCTATGAACAGACTAGCTCATGACCACTGAGAAGTACTGGTCACTTAGTTCTCTAGCAGGAGCTCCTCTCTGTTCTATTGGTGCTCCCTACAGAATAGTACCCAGGAATGTCATGTTTTTACTCATGTAACAAGAAAGTGACCAGATGTTTGATTTTACTTGCAGTTTGCCTCACCACATTTAATTTTGGAGTAGTCTCTTTAGCTATCCATATATTGTTTTTAACTTAAATTCATATAAAATACATCCAATGTAAATTCACTGAAATTATCTTTCAGAAAACAAAGCAGTAGATTTTCTGATTCAATCCACTGTAGATTACAACATATGAAAACTAAGTCCTTTGCTGAAATGTGATTGCTATTAACTTGGCATACGTTGATCCTATTTTAGCTACAGGTTGATACTATTGTTCAGTTAAGTATTTAATTTTTTTAAAAAGTATTTTTGAAATTTTTTTCCAGCCTGGAAGAGTTGTGACTCTTATTGAAGATCCTGGGGTATGGCACAGTTTTTATATAAAGATGTCTATATGAAATTATAAGAAATGTATCTCACTATAATCAAAACAGACAACCAAAGAAATTCTACAAGGGAGGTAGCATAATAGAAGGAAAATGCATGCTATCTTAGTTCTAGGATTTCCAGTTTTTTTAATGTTAAAACATCTTTTTTATTGTCTAGGTTTGGTTTCAGGTTTGCAGGGGACAAAGCTGTATAGAAGCAGACATGGTGTAAATAACAAAATGAAATAAAGCACTGAGGCACATTAAAAAAAACTATTTGAAAAATCTTACAACATTCCTTGAAATTAAGTGGAAACACTCATGTCATAAAACCAATGTTAAAGACTTTTTTGTGGAGGTGGGGGCAGACCTGTGATGTATGGGGAACTTTCTACAGTGCAGATCAGCCTACCATCACACATGTATATATACATATACACAGGTGTGTACATGTGTATATTCCCATCTCTAAGGCTAGCTAGTAGTCAAACTGACTACCATTTTCATTGTACAGATTTTTTTACTAGATAATAGATTTCTGCATTTCCATAAATCTATCAGTTACAGAATATCAACTAAGTGTCAGCGTCCTGATGTTTAAAGGAAGCTCATTTTTACTACCATAATTTCCTGGTGCTGAACAGTTAATAATTAATCAATGCAATCTTAAGTCATTCCCCATTTGCAAAGATAATCTAATCATTAGACTAATAACCTCTCCAGCAATTCTTTCTTTTATTGATTGAATTTAATTAACACCACTAAGTACAATGTTTTGTTCACAACTCCACATAGGTTTATGTGGTTCATATTCCTCAATTTCTCAGGTATTTATTACTTAGCAGTTTGGGGGGGGGCGGGGTTAACAGTTATTTTAACAAAGTTTGCAAAAAAAGAAGATGGAAGAGTTAATTTTTTAAAACGTGGCTTACAGGCAAAGCAAATGTATTATCATGCTTCATAATATGAACAAGTAAATGCTATAAATTAGGAGATGCTTTCCTGATACATATTTTTATGTGGTAAAGACTTAAAATAGGTAATTGTAGATATAAGCCCCAAACTAAACAATTAACAAATTAGACTTCATTGTGTAAACCACTTAAATCAATTTAGCTATTCAAAAAGATAATTAGCAACCCAGAGTTTAATTAAAGGCCTTCCATTAGGTTTACAGGTATGAAATAGCTTCCACTTTTGTGACAACATTCTTAGTCAAGTACCTAACATATGTTTTACCTTTTTCTTTAAACACAAGAAATGAAAAAAAAAATCCTACCTCTATGTCCACTGAAACAAAAGTCCAATGTTGGAAGTATTTTGCTTCAGTTTTAATTTTTGGGGGTTTTTTATTGCCTTAATCTTTATATAAAAATGAATAAAGGCTGCCAAAAAGTTTTATTTTAAAATAAAATTATGACTATTATTCTAGAATAAGATACAGCTTCTTCTTTTTTAAGGTATTCCCTTCACTTGTAAGCACTTTTATTGAAAACTACAAAGAACTCTTGAAAACCTTAGGCAAAAGAAAAAATTTACCAAATGGTGACTGGTTCCCATGTTGCATATGAATCTCTTATTTTTGAGAAGTGATACAGTGGAGAAAAATAGTCTTTGTGTGTGTGTACATATACATGTACATGTATATTATTATATATATATATGTATATATATATATACACACACACACACACACATATACACATGTGTATATGTGTGTATGTGTGTGTATTCACTTTAATTTCAGCCCCACTAAATACAAACTAAGAATAAATGTAAAATGTTCCAGTGAAACTATGATCCCACTGATTTGGATATTTCCTACCCATGTCTATCCATCTCGTATGACTCATCCATGTCCTACTGTAAATTCACCAATGGAGTCCAACCAGCATGCTGGGTGCCTTTTGACATCATGAGGATACCAGTGTAATAACACAAGAGCTGTTCTTTGGTTATCACTTACTCTGCCTAAGTGATTGGACCCTCTTTTTCAATCCTAGATTACAGCAGAGGAAAAAGAAACCCAACAGCATAGACTATTTCCCAACTGTGCAAATAGCTAAAGAGAATCATAACAGGAGTTATAGGTGCCACTTCAGTCTGCTGATTTAAAATTTTCAAAAACACTCTAGATATAACACTTCCCCATCTTTTATAAATATTTTACACATCTTTTAAAGAGTAAGATGGATTCACACACCTTTATTCTTCTGTAGGGTTGTGTATGGGGTGTTGCATACCGACTACCAGCAGGAAAAGAAGAGGAAGTGAAAGCTTCTCTGGATTTCAGAGAGAAAGGCGGTTACAGGACAACAACAGTCATTTTCTATCCAAAAGACCACTCTCTGAAACCATTCAGTGTACTGTTATATATTGGAACATGTGATAATCCTAACTATCTTGGTCCAGCCCCTCTGGAAGACATTGCTGAACAGATTTTAAATGCTGTTGGTCCTAGTGGAAGAAATACCGAATATCTTTTTGAACTTGCAAATTCCATCAGGAATCTTGTGCCAGAAGATGTAGATGAGCATCTCTTCTCCTTAGAAAAATTAGTAAAGGAACTTTCTGAACGAAAACAGAATCTGAATTGCATATAAAGAGATAATCATTGATTTCACAAACATTGTCTTCAGGGTAATGGTTTTTCCTAAATGTCATAATCTTTTACTTAATGGTGTGTTCAGGATAATGTAGTTTGCTATTTGAATCTGCACTGGAAAAACTACATATACATCTGTATTCAAGCATTTTTAAAAGTCCCAAGCTAAGTCATATTTAAATAACATCCAGTATCTTAAGCTATATGACAGTAGCTCTTTTTTTCCACTAGTAATATATTCTTTGTTTAGAAACATACAGGTAAATCATTATGCATCCTGTTTTGAGAATGTTAAACAAAATACAAATTTTTAATCTGATAAATAGAAGAGAAACAAGATAACCTGAGGACTCCTGCCTATGTTTTAGCCTTAGAAAGTAGTTTTCTAATATCACATCTTCTCCCTTTCTAGTGTGGAAGCATAAAATAGTGGGTAAGTTTGTCCTTTGATACAAGTATGGAACAGCTATATCTTAGGAGAACAAATATATTTTATTGTGGCCATCAATTGTGGGAAAATAATCTCTACATCTACCAACCTGCCAGTACAATACTGGAAATTTGAAATTTTTTGAAATTTTGAAATTACTGAAAAACAAACTGAAACCTGAAATTCTATAGCATGTATCTATGCTTGTAAAATTAATTCTGTAACAAACCATGGATAAAAAAATGCAAAAACTTATACTAGCATATGATTGTAGTGTGTGTATAAATGTGTGTATATATAGATATATATATATATACACACACACACATGTTTACATAGAGAGTAATAAACACGGCTTTCAGTCCTAATTTTAAACTTCTGTATTTTTCAAGGTTTGTCAGTCCCTTTAAGCTTAAGCTAATATTTTCATATAAATATTCTCCTATGAATGTTATATATTGTACCTTGTCTTCTTCAATAGCAGTTATTTTTGCATATGTAATTACTACAGAACATAACTCATTAACTTTGAAATACCATGGATCAAATATTTATAACTAGTAGTGGCCTTTAAGAGGTCATCTAGTGCAAGGCTTCTTAACCTGGGATCTTGGCAAGTAAATGTCTGAGGCTAGATTTGAGCTCATGAAGTTTTCCTGATTCCAAGTCCAGTGCTCTATCCATTGCACCACCTAGGTGCCCAAACGGGTCTAAAACACACACAAAAAAGTTATGACCCACAGATCTAGTCCAACCCTCTTCTCAAATGAGGAAGTAGACCCAGAAATGTCAAATAATTCCATCAAGGTCACAAAAGTACTAAATGGCAAAGCTGCAATTCAAATCCAGTGCTTTCTACTATACCACTATATCACACTGTAAAAAAGGGCACTTTTAAGTAAACCATCATTCACTTTGTAGTAACCTGCTAGCACAAGAATAAGATTCTGCCTTAACCTTGTGCAAAAAAAAGGATTTTACAAGAAATGTACTTTATCAGATAATCATATATTAAAAGATCTGCTTCTAAATATATTTTCAAGTACTTTTAACACAACTGCCCTAAACAAATAATAAAATCTAAAGTTTCAAAAAAGAATCCAGACATCTGGGACAAAGGAACAAAAAAGTAGGTTGGGAGAATGATCTTAAGCTAAAAGCAAAGGCTTTACTTTTTTGGATTTGAATCCTCAGCACCTAACCCAGTGCCTACTGAATAGTAGGCATTTGCACTTAATAAATGTTTGTGGGCAGCTAGGTATCCAAGTGGATAGTGCACCCAGCCTGGAGTCAGGAAAACTTGAGTTCAAATGTGGTCTCAGACACTCACCAGCATGTGATGACCCTGGGCAAGTCATTTACCCCTGTTTGCTCCGAATTTATGATCTTAACTAAGGTTAAGAGACTTGCTAAGGGGTCATATAGGTAGTATGGGCTGGAAGTAGAATCCAAGTAGAATCCTGGCTCCCAGAGCAGTAAGCTTTGCAAAACACTACAATCCCCATTTAGATCAGATTGCAAAATATTGCTAGATGTTCTCCTTTTGGAATTCTTTCCATATCTGCACATTCCTAAGCCTTTCTAGTTACACCAGTGTAGATAAAAGGAAATGCTGCACAACCTCAGTATTCAAGTTAGGGAAACCCTTCAAAAATTATACAATATTGTATTGTTGTTCAGTCATATCCAACTATGTGACCTCATTTGGCATTTTCTTAGTAGTCTTTTGGACTTCCTTTTCTATTTGGCCAATTTTTCTTTTTAGGGCATTTTTCTCCTCATTGGCTTTTTGGACCTCTTTTGCCATTTGGGTTAGGCTATTTTTTAAGGTGTTATTTTCTTCAGTATTTTTTTTGGGTCTCCTTTGGCAAGCTGTTGACTTGTTTTTCATGATTTTCTTGCATCACTCTCCTTTCTCTTTCCAGTTTTTCCTCTGCTTACCTTACTTGCTTCTCAAAATCCCTTCTGAGCTCTTCCAAGGCCTGGGACTGATTCATATTTTTCTTGGAGGCTTTGGATGTAGGAGCTTTGACTTTGTTGTCTTCTTCTGGTTGTATATTTTGATCTTCTTTGTCAACAAAGTAAGATAATATAGTCTGACTCTTTTTGTGCCACTTGCTCATGATCCCAGACAATTACTTGAGTTTTAAACTCTTTGTTAAGGTAAGAATCTGCTTCCAATGTAGAGAATGTACTGTCTCAAGCCTCAGGGGTTTGTACGGCTGTTTTCAGAGATACTTATATAGGGACCTGTAAATTTTCAGTTCTTGCAAGGTGGTATGATAAGGGGCAAGGTGTTTACTCCTTTCCTGGCCTGTGACCACAAGTACTCCTTTCTGTCCTCTAACTGTGAGGAGGGGTTCCTCTCCACAGCCACTACAAGCTCCACCATGCCAGTGCTCCTCCTCACCCCAGGACCCCTGTCCAGAACTGTGACCCAGATCCAAACACAGGCAAAGCAAGAGATTGCTGCCTCAGCATTGGCAAAGAGATCCCTGCAATGCCTCTCTGATCAGCCACTGGATTCCCCCTCAATCTGTGGGCCGGAAGCTCGGGAAGCAGTTGTCCCCCCACCCCGTGCGCAGGGCCACGCTCTTGGGGAATGGAGCTGAGACCCTGCCTTCCTTTCTCAGCACCTACAGAAACAGACTCTCCCCACTGACGTTCTAAGTTGTCTTTGGCATTAGTGGATTGAGGAGTCTGGAAACCTCCACAGGTGCCCGTGATTCACTCCTCTGAGGCCTGCTCCAGGTTCGCTGTGGCCTGCACACCCACTCTGCACTGCTCTGCACTCCCAGCCCAGCATAATATACCTTTTTTGATCAACCATCCAGGCTGTCTTGGGCTGGAAATTTGCTTCACTCTGTCTTTTTGTGGGTTCTGCTACTTTAGAATTTGTTTAGAGCCATTTTTTTTACTGGTATTTGAAGGGTTTAGGGGAGAGCTCAAGCAATTCACTGCTTTCACTCCACCATCTTGGCTCCACCCCCCATAAAGAGTCCTGGTGTTTTCTTAGCAAAGATACTGCAGTCGTTTGCCATTTCCTTCTTCCATTCATTTTAGAGATGAGGAAACTGAGGGCAGAGTTAAGTGATTTGCCCAGGATCACACAGCTAGTAAGTATCTGGGGCCAAATTTGAACTCACGTCTTCCTGAATCCAGGCTTAGTCCACTGTACCATGTAGCTGCCCCATACAGTACTATACCACATAATAATAGAGGGAGAAAGAAAGGGAAGGGCAGATAGAAATGTGTATCTCCTTCCTTTCTCCTTCCCTCCAGTGGAAATAGTAAGATTAGATATGAAGATAAGGCTGAAATGAAGGGTAGTGGTACAGTAATAGGAAGTTCAGAGAGAGGGTTTAATGGGAAAAATAATAAGTTCAGTTCAGACATGTTGAGCTTAAGATTTCTACGAGACATCTAGTTAGAAATGTCCAACATGTCATTAAGAGACTTGAGTGTGGAGGTTGGAAAAGATTAAGGCTGGATAAATAGATCTCGGAATCATCAGCATAGAGATAACAACTGAAACCATGGGAGCTAATGAGATCTCCAGGTGAAATCGTATAGAAGGAAATTGAAAAGAGGTCTGAGGACAGAGCTCTGGGAGGTGCTCACCTTTAGTAGTCATGACCCAGATGGAAATCCAGCAGAAAAGACTGATAAGGAACAGTAAGATGGGTAGGATAACCAGGACAGAGTGGTGTCACAGAAACCTAGAGTGAAGAGGGGATCAAGGAAAGGGGGGGGAGGGGTAACAACATCAAAGGCTGCAGTAAGGTAAAGAACAAAAATTGGAAAAGGTCATTAGATTTGGCAATATTAGCAACAAAAGTTCCAAGCTACTGGTAAACCAGGAAAAAAAAATTTTATTAACCTAAGCCGGGTGTCCCATGCGTGGGCACACCTTACCAAAGGGAGAGCAAAGGTTTTTTATTCCTAGGCCCCTAATCACAGTTCCCTCCCGTTTCCCCACTGGCTGGGTAATGCCAGGTTTATAGCCTATCTGGAGCACCTGATTTCCCCACGAGAGTCTGCCCCTAATTACATCTCCCATTCCCCACATTTCCTTGCAAACAGCCTACAGCTGTCAATACCCCAACAGCTACTCATCAAGGGGTTTTGGGGACTTATCCACACCCTGATGAGTGATATAAAGAAGCAACATTCCCAACCACATTTTATACAATCCCCCCTTTTCCTTTTATTTACTCAGTTGTGCCTGCATTTTAATTCATTAAGTAAACTATGATTTTAACCATTGAATTCCACTGGAGCTGTGTTGTTGGGCAACATTTCATCAAGGGGTTTTGGGGACATATAAAAAATATGGGAGAAGGAAGGGAGAAACTGATCGACACACTGACAAACCCAAAGGGAAAAAGTAACAATAAATAGTCAATTTAAGGCATCTCATGCAGCTGTCTGGTTAGTAAGCTGGACATCATCTGGTGAAGTCTGTTCCAGCAGTGTTCAGCAGACTGTCTTGTAGAGATCCTCTTGTGTCCACTCTCCTACAAGACTGATCTTAACAGAATTTCAAATTACCTTGCCTTTGTCTATTATTATAAGAGCAAAATTGGAACCTCAGCCAATTGTCATGTTTACAGTCTTATTCATATTCCCAGTCAGGAGGATGAGATTCCACTAAGAAATTAACAAAACAATTCCAACTTCTGGTGATGTACAAATAAATAACCCCTAATTAAAATGGATACTTCTTTTAAGATAGACCACAAGCCATTCTTCTTTTAACATTAAGTGTAACAAATTGAGACAGGTAAGATATTAACTAAGTAACAGAATGATATGCTGATCTCACAAGCCCATGGCCTAAGCATTCCGATATGTTTTGAGGAATTAAAGGACCCTAACTTATAATACTTAATTCTAAAATTCTAAAAACAAGCAAGATATAGGATAAACAGGGAAAAAAATAAAAGGAAGGTAGGTGGTAGAACTAAGAAGGTTTGGGAAAGGCTTCCTACACAAGCTGGAATTTTAGTTGGGTAATGAAGGAAAGCAGGGAAGCCAGGAGATGGAGATGAAGAGAACAACATTCCAGGTATGAAGATAGCCAGAAAAAAAAAATGCCTGGAGCCAAGAGACAAACTCTTATTTGTGAAACAGCAGGGAGGCCAGTGGCACTGGATGGTATAAGAAGACTGGAAAAGCAGGAGGGTTTGAAAACCAAACAGAAGATTTTGTATCTTATCCTGGAGGCAATAAGGAACCGCTAGAGTTCACTAAAGGTGGGGAAGTAACATGGTCAGACCTGCACTTTAGGAAAATCACTTTAGTGGCTAAATGAAAAATGGAATCAAGTCAGCAGACAGATCTATAGGATCTAATAAGATCACCAAGTGAAGTGGTGTAGGAGAAAAGAAGAGGGCCCAGAACCCTATGGGATACCTATGATTAGAGGGTATCATTGAACAAGAATCCAGCAAGGGAGAGTGAGAAGGAGCAGTCTGATAGGTAGAAGGACCAGGAGAGAAGGGAGCATCAAGAAAGAAAGGGTGATCAACAATGTCAAAGGCTGCTGAGAGATCAAGGAGAATAAGGATTGAAAAAAAAGCCTTTGAATTTGACAATTAACTGGTGACTTTGGAAACAGCAGTTTTGCTGGATTGAAGAAGTTAGAAGCCAGATTCAAGAGAGTGAGAGGACAGAAATTAGAGGCATCTATATATTGTTCTAGAAACGTTAGCTATAGCAATAAGTTAACAGAAAGAAACCAAAGGAATAAGAAAAGGCAAATTTTAAAAATGCTTTTTGGCTAAATAAACAATTAAAAATTAACTGAAACAATAACCAACAAAGTTGCAGGATAAAAAATAAAAACAGATAAGTTATCAGTCTTTCTGCATATTACCAACAAAACCCATCTGGAAGAGATAGAAAAATTCCATTCAAAACAGTAGAGAATGTATAACTATCTGGAAGTCTAACTACCAAGATACACCCAGGAACTATATGAATATAACAAAAAAAATACTCTACAGAAAAAAGACAGACCTAAATAACTGGAGAAATACTAATTGCTCATGAGTGGGCTATGCCAATACAATTATAATGACAATATTACCAAAATTAATTATTCATACCCATCAAAATACTAAATGATTACTTTATAGAGCTAAGAAAATAATAAAATTTAGCTACAGAAACAAAAGATCAAAAATCTCAAGGAAAACAATGAAAAAAAATTGGAGAAGAAAGGGGAGCCTAACAACCTCAAAGATTTCAAAGGACACTTCAATGTAAGCTTCAAATGGATACATAAGGATACATAACTTACATAATGCACACATCTAAGCAAATTGAAGGAGCCATGAAGAAAATTCCCTAGAGAGTTCAAGATCTCCCACGTTCCTGTGTTGGTGCCAGCTGCCCAACTAGAAGTACTTCTTGCAAGTACACTGCTTTTCTGAGGAGATAACCACCAAAAAGATAATCCTACAGTTGAAGGAATTAGAAAGCCATGACAGTCAGGCCTGAGGATCTGGACTTTGTGGGTTGCTTAGATAGCAGAGACTTGTGGTAAAAGTGAAACATCTCTTCAGAGGGGCAGCTAGATGGCACAGTGGATAAAGTGCCAGCTCTGAAGTCAGGAAGGCCTGAGTTCAAACCAGCCTCAGACCAAACACTTGACACTTACTAGCTGTGTGACCCTGGGCAAGTCACTTAACCCCAACTGCCTTAAAAAAAAAAAAGAAATATCTCTTCAGGAGGCCCACCAAGTTGTTTTCTTCTCCCAGGAAAGTAAAAAGGTATGATGAGTTATTGTTTTATGTTTTAAGTGTTTGCAATGCACATGAGTCTTTTGCATTTCTTTACATTGTGTGGTTTTGGTTTGTCCTTTGTTCTCAAAGAGGACCCTAACATTTGGGAGATGATGACATGACTTGCATTGAATTGGAATTGAGTAAGGGAGGGCTGTGCAAAGTCACTGTTCTCACTTTCTCCTCCAGAGCTATTTGGGTCCAGTGGCCAGATATAGATCAGGACAACTGGAGATGGCCCAGGACACACTGGACCTTTTTTGTTTTGTTTTGTTTTTTTGCTTTTTTAGGCAATTGGGGTTAAGTGACTTGCCCAGGGTCGCACAGCTACTAAGTGTCAAGTGTTTGGTCTGAGGCCGCATTTGAAATCAGGTCCTCCTGACTTCAGGGCCGCGCTCTATCCACTGCGCCACCTAGCTGCCCCACGCATTGGGGCCTTTTTAAGCTAAGGTATACTATATGTTGTGTTGGATATTTGCATATACCTAATTTCTGCCAGATTTCAGGACAGCTCATGGTAGTCACTTAATAACGGGTTTTTTGATGTTAACAAAGTTCTAAGTCATGAAAACACAAAAGGGTTTATATTTAATGTAATATAAATATATAATATACATCCAAGTAGGAGAGAGCACATGCTGCAGCAAATATAAGAATACTTATAGAAATCTATTTCTAAGTCTTCTTACACTTCACTTGTTAGCATCTGCCTACACTGGCTTAATTGAGGTTCCTCAAGCAAAAGATTCCATCTTCCATCTGCCTTGGTCCTGGCTCTCCCCCATGCCTGGAATTCTCTCCCTCCTTCCCTCCACCTCTTAGCTTCCTTTTAAAATTTAGCTCAAATCCCAGCTTCTACTAAAGGCCTTCCCCTGAGACTGCCTTCCACCTCTTCTGTATACAGGGTATCCTAAAGGTCTTAGTGCAGTTTTAAACTTAAAGCTTAAATCTGCACTCTGACTTTTGGGACACCCAGTATGTTTTGTATGTACCTATCTATTTACAGGATGTATCCCTCATCAGAATGTGAGCTCCTTGAAATCAAGGACCATTTTGCCTTTCTATCCATAGAGCTTAGCACAATGCTTGGCACAAGTGTTCAATAAATGCTTGCTGAATGACTGGATTTAAATAACTATAACTCACAATCCAATTAGTCAAGAGAATCTCTTAAATATACTTATCTTGGTTAAACAGTCAACCACTCCATTTCTGGAATAACTGCTGTGGTAACATAGTAAAAAAAGAAAAGGTAAGAAGGACAAGAAAGTATCACCAAAGAAACCCAATACAGTCTCAATACTCAAGGAAGTTACAATCTAGACAAGCTATATACACATGAAACAAAAAACATTTCTACAAGAAGCCTTGCCCAACCCCTCTTAATTCTAGTGTCTTTCCTCTTTTTTTTCCTAGTTACCCTGTATATAGTTTATTTGTACCTATTTGTTTGCTTGTTGTCTCCCCATAAGATTGTGAGCTCCTTGAGGGCACAGACTGTCTCTTGTCACTTTTTGTATCCTCAGCACATAAAGAAGGGATATAAAAATAGCTGCCTTCAATGATTTCAAGGGTTGTAATCGAGCACACATACACTTGTGTTGCTTCTGCCCCCAAAGTCCAGTAGTAAGTAGGAGTGAAAGTTGCAGAGAAATAAATTTAGACTTGATCAAGTGAAAAAATATTAAGCAGGTCTGCAATATTCCAGGACAGCTAGGTGGCACAGTGGATGGAGCACCGGGCCTGAAGTCAGGAAGACATAACTCAAATTTGGCCTCAGACTCAGACAAGCCCTGACCCTCGGCAAGTCCCTTAACCCTGTTTGCCTCAGTTTCCTCATCTGAGCTGGAAAAAGAAATGGCAAACCACTCCAGTATCTTTGCCAAGAAAACCAAAAATGAGGTCAGGAAGAGTCAAACGCAACTAACAACAATAAATACAATGCCAGTGGGATAGCCCACCCCCCCACAAAAAAAAGCAAAAAAAAAATCAGTCACTGCCTTCAAGGAGCTCAAGATCTAAGGGGTTTGACAATATCATAACTATGATACATGTATGTATAACCTATGTATAAACAAGTGATATATGGGATGAATTGGAAATGATCAACAGGTAAGTGACTTTTCCAAAGTCACACAGCGATTAAGTGTCTGAGGTTGGATTTGAATTTAGGTCTTCCTCACTATCAGTGCTCTCTCCACTGCACCAGATAACAATATTTAAGCCAAACCATTTAATTTTGGTTTCTGAACCCTAGTCAAACTCATTTCGCCACCGCTGGGAATGTAAATCCTACGCCTTTAGTGAAAAGAGTCATGGGGGGGAAAGGGTAGGAGGAGGTCAGGAGTATGGGACGGGGAAAACCTCTAGAAGAGCCACTTCAGGGTATGGGGGAACGAACGATCCTAAGGTACGAGCCCAACAAAAATAACAATCAGTCACTCATTAGACTTCGCAGGAGGAAAAGATTCTTTTTCCCTCAAGGAGAGAACCCTGAGGAGACAGACAACGTCTTCCTTCCCTTAATTTTTCCTATAGTTTCTGAACCTTCCCCCTCCCCTCGAGAATAAAAGAGAATCAAAGGGAAGCTGGAACCAAAGCGGGGAAGAAAGGGGCTTCGGCAAAGTCGGGGACGACGGCGGGAGAGACTGGGGCCCCTCCGGGAGAGCGCCTGCAGCTCGGCCGGGGATTACGCGGGACTCACCGGCTGCGAATACGAACGCGCCGCCGCTATGCGGCCTCCTCCCTTCCCGTCTAGGGCTCTCGGGCCGGAATCTCGGCCTGTCAGGGTCCCAAGCCCCAAGGCCAAGAGGGGCGGGTAAATGGCTGGCAGAGTGGATGCCTGCTCCCAGCGCCCAGAACAGCGACCCTCCAAGACCAGCGGGCTGCACAGGGTTTGAGGGGGCGGAGGAGAGAATAAAAACCTCTCGGCGTCCGTAGGCGGACCCGGATGTTGATAGGCCGTTTGTCCCGGAAACTGCTGCACGAAAGTGAGAGAAGTGGAGGCGGTTTCGAGGGGCTCCCCGGAAGGAGACGTGGCGGCGGTTGGGGCTCCCGTTCGCTGGGCGATCTCTAGTCCCGCCGCCTCCGCCTCCTCTCAATGGGCCAAGGAGGCAGCGACGGCGGCGGCGGCGGCGGCTGGAGAGAGAAGCGGAGGAGGATGGAAGAAGGAGGCGGCGGCGGACGGAGGCTGGTCCCGGGTGCGCCGGTGCTGCTGGTCCTCTGCGGGCTCCTGGAGGCGTCCGGGGGCGGTCGAGTGCTCCCTCCGCTCAGTGACGACATCCCCTTCCGAGTCAACTGGCCCGGCACCGAATTCTCCCTGGTCAGTGCCCGCGCCGACCCCCCACGGTGTCCCCCAAGCGGCCCCCGCTCTTCCCCCCCCAAGCTAGCGAGTGCTTTTCCTTTAACTCGACACGAGTTTTCTCTGGCTTCTTGACAGGCGTGCGTAGACACCCGCCACCAAAGACACGGAGCTTAGCTGCCCAAGCGCGACCCTCCCACCTTCCCACCTTCGCCCGGGAAGCATTCCTAGATACCTCCCTCAAAAAAGAAAAATCATCAAAAACGATGTGTACATACATACATGCATACGTATATGTACACATGTACTTAAATACACATATGCATGACGTGCTTGCGAATATACATATCCATATACATAACACAAATATTACCGTAACCTGAATCCCAAAGCCCATTGGTATGGGACACATATGCACATATTCATTTCATATACATATACGAAATATACTTAAGTCTGTGCGTATCATGTCCGCCTTCTCCTTGGCCAGTAGCTAACAGCTGTTCCTTGAAACAACCACCGTTCTCCCCTTCATCCTGACATACAGCCAGGCCTTGTCTAAGGCCCTCAAAGGCGGTTTTTTCTTTCAGGTCAATCCAGCAAGGTTCTTTTAAAGTCCTACAGCATGCCGTGTGCTGAGCTAGTTGCTGGAGATAAAGAGAAAATAAAAAGCAGTCTGTGCCCTCAAGGAGATTGGGGCGGGGAAGAGTGGAGGATACAGCATGTAAATAAGATGTGGAGTAATTTGGCGAAGGGGTTCAGGCTTCTAGTAATCAGTTAATAGGCTCTTATCAAGTCTCTATGTGCTAGGCACTGTGCTAAGTGCTGCAGAGAAAAGTTAGAAGGCAAAAAAAGTCCCTGCTCTCAAGAAGCTCACTTTGTACTTGGGGAGACATACAAGATAAACTGGGTGTTATCAACAGAGAGCAGGCACTAGCATTAAGTATGAGGTGGCATGTGAACTGAGTTTTTATTTTGGTTTTGGTTTTTTTTGTGAGGCAGTTGGGGTTAAGTGACTTGCCTGGAGTCACACAGCTAGTGAGTGTTATGTGTCTGAGGAAGGATTTGAACTGAGGGTCTCCTGACTTCAGGGCTGGTGCTCTATCCACTGTGCCACCTAGCTGCCTATGGACTGTTTGGAAGCAAGGAATTCTAAGGTAGAGATGAGGAAGGAATGCATTCTGACATGGAGTGCAGCCTAGGCAAAGGCAGGGAGAAGGGAGGTGGTATCCTGTGTTAAAGAGAACAGCAAAGTTTGTCTAAAATGAAGAGTATCCTTGAAGGAATAATGCTCAGTAAGCCCCAAAAGGTAGACTGAAGCTAGATTTTGAAGGGCATTAATGTCCATCTGAAGAGTTTGAAGTTCTTCCCAGAGGTGAAAGAGAACCACTGAAGTTTCTTGAGCCAGGGAGTAACATGAACAGACTTGAATGTTAAAATGATTTGGGCAGCAATGTAAAGGATAAGTTGGAAAAGTCAGCAATCCAATTAGGAGGTTCACTCCAGGTAGGAGGTATTTAGAACCTGAAAAGGCAGCTTGGCCTTGTAAGTAGGGAGAAGAGGGCAGATTGGAGAGATGTAGAGAAATGATGGAAAAAATTATCAACTTAGTTGGATATAGGGGAGTAAAGAAGGAAAAAATCTGGATTGACTCTAGTGTTGTAAAACTAGGTCACTAGAAGGTGGTTATGCCTTCAACAGAATTAGAGAAATTTTGTCTTTTACGAATAAATACTAAATACTATAAATTCTAGAGTGAGAGCTCTCCCTGCAGGATTGTTTTGAAGAATTCAGTAGGACTGTGTCTACCACCCTCACTCTCTAGTCATAATGCCCCTAAGAAATAACATATATAGAGACAGCACAGTTAATTTTTTTTTTTGTAATCCTAATCAGGAGTCAGGAACTCAGTGATCTGGTCCCAGTTTTTCTAACTGTCGCTGAATCTGGCTCATCACTTCAACTCTAAGGCACCGTTTTCTCACCCATAAAATAAGGCATTGAATTAGATGAGTGCTAAGGCTTCCAGGTCTAAGAATGTGATCTTATGAACACTCCACATTCACAACCTTAGGGAGGGACTAAAAGCTATCGATGTTGAATTGACTGAAGAGTGATCTAAACACTCACAAATACTACAGATAGATTGTGTTATTACAGTGGGAAAGTCTTCGATGTTCATCAATGTACAGACTCCTTCCACCAAAGTAGGCTGCAAATTCTTTAAGCCCACATTTGGTCTTGAATTGTATGGTTGAACATTTATTACCCTGTGATCAACCTGGGGTTAGCCTCTATAAATTTAGCTATGATGGCCCTGGAATTGCTGGGCCCTGCTTTTAATGTTTATTCCTGGTTCAGACTATATTATACATATTGTTGCCCATTCCACGTTGTGGACCTTGTTATCTGAGGAATAATTTTTTTCTGCTTTGTGAGTCTCTTATTACAGTGTTAGTGACACATGACATATTGAGCCAATCCTTTAGTACATCCATGATTTCATCATTGCAGGTATTCCCTACATCAGCATATATTGCCCATATGCCATACACAACTTTTCATCTTGTGTACGGGGTCTATTCAGTATGCTGAAGGCCTTAATCTAGGCCTTTTTAAAATTTCTTTCATCCTATTATATCACCATCCTGTCTGTATGTTACCTTACTGTATACCCAGCCCTTCACCTTTTTTAGATGTGCATTTCCTAAGAGCAGGGACTGTTTTTTTCTTGTTATCTTTGTAATCCCAGTGCCTTTCACAGAGTAGGTTTAACAATTGTTTGTTGAATCAGCTGTTGCACTCTCCTTATCCTCCTTCAAACACAGAGATCACGGTTGGAAAAGTGCTGCAACCATTTCCATTGCCATTCAGGTTTCCTGCAACCTTGATTATTTGAAGATTGTTGTTATATTGGGTCAGACCAAGAGAAAATTCAATTGTGTTATCAGGCTTATGTCTGTCATCTAATGTAAATTGAGAAATGTTCTGTCTATTCTTTGTGCCTTGTTTCTGTGTCAATACTTCCTTTATTTTCAGTCTTTCCTTTTTAATATTTGATGGGTAAATAATATTTCTCATTACATGGAATGTTGAAGCAAGAAGGAACATTGGAGATTGTTTTGTCCAATTCCCCTCATTTTTCATGAGACCAACAAAAAATGAAATGGTTTCCCCAAGGTCACACAGTGGTAGGCAAAATCTAGGACCACGACTCCTAGTTCTGTCTCACATTCTTTATATATTACCTGGTTGATGCTTCAGAGTTCCAACTCTGTTTTTCAGGTTTTTCAGAGAAGGCTGGATTTATAGACACAAGTCCTGTCACTTACCACCTGCTTAATTTTGGACAAGTCATTTCATCTCATTGGTCTTCTTCATCTATAAAATGATAGAGGTGGACTAGATCAACTTTAGATCCATTTCAGCTCTAAATCTATTTTCCTTAGTTCCTAAATTCAATAATTAATACATTTTTCAGTGCACCTAACAATCCCTACTCCCTGGTTATAACTGACATTGGACAGTTGTGAAAGGAAAGGGGGAGGAGTAGATGTGGAAAAAAGATCTACTGCTAGTCAATGAGGTGATCTGTTTTTAATTGATTCTTCAATCATTTCTTTAGCAATTTAATTGATTTTTAAAATAATCTCTGATTCATAGTTCTCCCAAGTGATTCTAGATACCTTTGGCAATTTTATTATAGTTTGCATTGAATATCCCCACTATATTGTGGGTTTTTAAAGTTTGGGTTAGTATTAAAAAAAATCCATCAAACAAGGTAGGTTAGCAGCCAAAGAAAAAGAAAAAATAAACTCTCTTATCTTCCCTGCTTACAGTAGGTTTCTCCAATCAATCTCATCTTCTTTTCATGAGTGTCACTTGGCTCCATTTGTGAAGTGTGTAATTCTCTTGCCTTTCTCTGTGCTTTAAACCATAACTCTCAACCCCAAAACCTTTGGCTTTAGTTTTCTCTTAGAAAAAAAATAAGAAAAGAAGGGGCCTACCAACTTCCTTTTATACCATACATATGGTCTTAATACTTAAAACGGAGAGTCAAAACAAAGAAAGAAAACTATAGACCAATATGTTAAATAAAATATTGGCAAGGAGACTACAGCAACCAATTAATTAACTAGTGTATTGAGTACCTACTAAGTGCCAGGCACTATTCTAAAGTTCTGGGGATACAAATAAAAACAAATATGATCCCTGCCCCCAGGTAGCTTAGAATCTAATAAAAGACAACACAAAAGAAAGCTTAAAAAGGGAGAAAAAGATGAAGTTACCCTTGGCCCTGCCCTCCAGTCATTGAGTCCAATAGGGGGGTGGGGCAAAAGGTACTGATAAGATTTGAGTGCCAGGCAGATTCAGTCTTGAAGGATAATGAGATTTCCCAGTGATACTTTCCTGGGAAAGGAAGCCATAATGGAGAGTTTGAAAGGAGTCCAAAAGCATTGTACCTGATGGGAAGTATGTATAATCACAAAAGTTATACACTATGACCTAGATTTATGCCAGGAATGTAAGGTTCATTCAGTATTGGGAAAATCAGAAATATAATTGACCATATTGATAACAAAGCAACCAAAATCATATGATTATGTCACTAGATGCAGAAAAAACATTTGACAATTTACAGCACCCATTCCTGTTAAAAATATGAAACCATAGGAATAAATGGAGCTTGCCTTAAAACAAGTAGTATCTGTCTAAAATTACCAGCATTATCTGTAATAAAAATAAGCTCGAGGCCTTTCCATTTAGATTAGAGGTAAAGTAAGAATATCCATTTGCATCATTACTATTCAGTGTAGTGCTAGAAATGCTAGCTGTAGCAATGATAAGAAAAAGAAATGGAAAGAATAATCAAAGAGGAAACAAAATCGCTATTGCAGATGGTTTACCTAAAAGTGCTCTGGAAAGGCAAACCAAAAGTTCACTGAAACAATTAACAATTTCAGCAGAGTTGCAGGATATAAAAGTAAACCCATACAAATCATCAGCATTTCTGCATATTATCAACAACAATCCAGCAGGAAAAGATAAAAAGAGAAGTTGTATTTAAAATTGTAAGTCTACCTGCCAAGATACAGTAATTGTGTGAATTCAATTACAAAACTCTTAACACACACACAGATGATCTAAATAATTGGGAAAATACTGATTGCTGATAGATAGGCCAAGTCAATATGGTGTAATAATAAAGTTGATATAGAAGAACAGAAGGTCAAGAATATCAAGGGAAATTTTTATAGAATTTTTTTAAAAGTACAAGGAAGGGGGCCTAGTGGTACCTGTTGTTGTTTAGTTGTTTTCAGTTACATGTGACCCCTTTTTGGTTTTGTTTGGGTTTTTTTTTTGGTTTGTTGTTTGGTGAGGCAAATGGGGTTAAGTGACTTGACCAGAGTCATGAAGCTAGTGAGTGTTATATGTCTGAGGCTGGATTTGAACTCAGGTCCTCCTGACTCCAAGGCCGGTGCTCTATCCACTGCGCTACCAACCTGTCCCCTTTTTGGCGTTTTCTTGGCAAAATCCTTGAGTGCTTTGCCATTTCCTTCTCTAGGTCATTTTACAGATAAGGAAACTGAAGTAAACAGGGTTGAGTGACATACCTAGGATCATACAGCTAGTAAGGGTCTGAGGCCGGATTTGAACTTCAGTGGTCCTGACTTCAGGCCTGGCACTCTATCCACTGCACCACCAGTACTATTCTATGAAATAATTTGATTACTGGGTAAGAAACAGAGAGGACAATCAGTGGAATATATTAGGTATACAAATGAGCACAGTGTTTGATAAACCCAAAGATACCAGTTATTGGGGCAAGAACTCACTATTCAACAAAAATTGTTAAGATAACTAGAAAGCCAGGGGCAGGTAGGTGGTGAAGTGGATAGAGTACCGACCCTGAAGTCAGGAGGACCTGAGTTCAGATGTGGCCTCAGACCAAACACTTGATACTTAACTAGCTGTGTGACCCTGGGCAAGTCACTTAACCCCAATTGCCTAAAACAACAACAACAACAACAACAAAAAATGACTATTTGGGGGCAGCTAGGTGGCACGGTGGAGATAGAGCACTGGCCCTGAAGTCAGGAGGACCTGAGTTCAAATGTGGCCTCAGACCAAACACTTGACACTTACTAGCTGTGTGACTCTGGGCAAGTCACTTAACCCCAGTTGCCTAAAAAAAAAAAAAAGATAACTAGAAAGCAGTTTGGTAGAAACTAGGTAGACTAACATCTCACACTGTATATACCAAGACAAACTACAGATGATTTATATTTTATGTCTATGATTTAGACATAAAGGATGATATTTAAAAAAAAATAAAGGGTGATATCAAACAAATTAGAGCAGCATGGAAGAAATTACCTGTCAGATCTGTTGATAGGGGAAGAGTTCATGACCAAATGAGAAAGACAGTGAGAGAGAGTCACAGGAGGTAAAATAGATAGTTTTTGTTACCAATACAGTTAAACTAAAAAGAGAAGCAGGAAATGGGGGGTGTGAGGACAGAATCTTGGTAGCAAGTTTTTCAGGTAAAAGTCTTATATCTAAGATATAGAAGGAACTGATTTAGATTTACAGGAATAAGAGCCATTCTCCCCCTCCTCCCAGATAAATTTCTCTTTGAAATTCATTAGATAAGAGAAAATTATCTGAGAGATTTAAATAGAAATTTCTTTTCTTTGGTATGTTACAGAAATGTTCTATTCACAACCATCTGTCACTTTACAAAGTACATTGTAACAAGGTAGAGCCATTAAATTATGTAAAGTGAATTGTAATTTTTCCATTGATTTTCATTACTTAATAGGAAGGCATTCCCAACATTTACTATAATCACCCAAGAGACTGACTTGAAAAGTTTAGTCAAATAATGGGTTAATGCCATCCATAGTCAGAAAAATGGAGCAGGTTATATCTTCTAGGCCAGTCAATGCTGGAATCAGGCTTGGTGCACTTCCAGCCTGGGTGAAAAATAAGGAGACTATCACTAACCCACCCTCCCCGAAGAAAAAAAAAACCCAAACCTTTCCTCACAACAATCCTATAAGGCAGAGAGAGCAAATATTATCCCCATTTTACAGATAAGAAATTTAGATTCAAAGAGATTAAATATTCTCATAGCTAATGTGTCGAAAGTGAGATTTCAACCCAGGTCAGCTGACTCTACATCTAGTACACTTTGCACTATTAAATAAAACCCAATACTTCAGATACCTGACCAACGCATGTTATTTGTGGATTACTACCCTGATTCGAACGTCGTACTTTTCTTGGAATGAGGCTGTGGTGTTGTGAATGGATAAAGACCTGGACTTGGAGACAAGAACACCTAGATTCAAATCCTATCTAGAGCAAGCTGCTTACCCTATCTTAGCTGCAGTTTTCTCTTCTATAAAATAGAGATAATAATACTTACCTACCAACCTTACATGGTAGTTGTAAAGTTCAAATGAAATGTTTGCATTGTGTTTTGCAGCCAGTAACATGCTATATGAATGTCAGCTGTTATTAATGTAACCTAAGATTACATTAGCTTTTATGGCAGTGTTAACGGGTAGACTTCAAAAGGCTTGAGTAGCAACTTACTTTATTACAAGAGATAGCAAAAGGCATGCCTGTTGAATCCTCTTGCTCAGAGTATGGAGGAGCCCAACAATACAGACAAAGCATTGGGTATTCAAGGGTTACAGTGAGAAGAGGAGATCCCATGGGAAGAATAATGGGCAATCCCCTCCCAAATAGGAGTGGCATGGGAGGAGAAAGGGGGCAGTAGTGGAGGGAGAGCAAGAGGGGAGCTCGAGCACACACACACACCCTCCTTACCCCCTCTCATGCTGCACCCCTTTAGGTAGAGATTTCTAGTACCTCCCCATTCCTTTGCCCTGCTGTCATATGTGTGCAAACTTCTTTATGGATTGTGAGCTCTTTGGTTTCCACATGCATGTTCATTTCTCTTGTAATAAACCTAGTTTTCAGATAAGTTTTGTGAAGTTGTAATTCCCTGTTGACACAGACGTCCTAGAAAAGTTAAGTGACTTCTCCAGAATCACACAGCTAGTAAAGAGCAAAGCTGGGATTTATCCGGGTCCTCTGACTTCAAATCCAGGACTCATTCTACTGCTCCTCTTAGTGCATTATTCTAACCTAAAAGATCTTCTTAAATTCCAATTCTGCCATCCAATATTTTAGTTATTCTTCTCTCATTGTATCAGTAATGGATACTACTTCGCTTACAAATATGTAAAGAACATACACATATACAAACATCAGTTGCAACAGTAGAACAGTTTGAATAAACAACAACTGTAATTATATTTTGTTTCACATACTTAAGAAATTAAACTGTCTACTTGTTTTTGTATCTTTCTAGCCTACTGCTGGTGTTTTTTATAAAGAAGATAATTATGTCATTATGACAACTGCAGATAAAGAAAAATATAAATGCATACTCCCCCTTGTAGCAAGTGGAGATGAGGTAAGTTCTGATAAATGTATTGATAGTAATGCAACACATATATTAAAGTTCTTCCTTGGAAGAATTAATGCACAATTACAAATAGCAACTGAGGGACTAAAACTTGAATTACAGATATAATTTGTTCAATTTTTTTTGTATTAAAGATCAGTAATCTTACATGGACCTTTTTCTCATTTCTCTGCTTTTGCTTCTTATCCCTCTGCACACACATATCTAGAATGTTCCTCTCCCCTCTCTTTCCATCCTTTAATATAGAAAATATTAAAAGAAAATCATAATTAGTAAAACCTTATTTCTTGTAGGAAGAAGAAAAGGACTATAAAGGCCCTACTCCAGGTGAATTATTGGAACCACTGTTTAAACAAAGCAGTTGTTCATACAGGGTATGTATTTTCTATTCATTTGACCTTTGTTTCAGAACTTTGGTAGATTAGGTGCAGGATCTCATTAGTGTGGGTATAACTTCCAGCAGTACAAATTGCAACCTATCCACACCTTCTCATCGTATTTGATGCTTGTCCATGTCTTCCCATCAATCTTTTTTTTTTTTTGGTGAGGCAGTTGGGGTTAAGTGACTTGCCCAGGGTCACATAACTGGTAAGTATTATGTGTCTGAGGCCAGATTTGAATTCAGGTCCTCCTGACTTCAGAGCCGGTGCTCTAACCACTTCGCCACCCAGCTGTCCCCCATAAATCTTTCATATAGAGGATCTATTCAGTGTTCTAGAGGCATTCCTTTAGATCTCTTTACATTAGATAGGTACTAGAGCAGCTAGTTGGCACAGTGTATAGAGCACCGGCCTTGGATTCAGGAGGACCTCAGTTCAAATCCAGCCTCGGACACATAACACTTGCTAGCTACGTGACTCTGGGCAAGTCACTTAACCCCAATTGCCCTCACCAAAAAAAAAGAAAAACAAAAAGCATTAGATAGGTACCAGAATAAGACTCAGGCTCTTCATCTATTGGCTATTGCTCTTACTATATGACTAACCAAAATCATATTCTAATGAAACGTTTCTTAGATAATATCCCTTATTACTAGATGTGTTAAACTTGGTGAGGCCAAACTAGATTAAAGTATAATTGGGAAATGTTTAAAAAAATTTTTTAATATGTTAATTTGTAGTTTTCTAAGTCAACATGCAGCTCTATTTCTATTCAGATTTAACACTACTACCTTACGTTTCTTATGCCCAAATTATAGGGTATAATAGTATGCTGCTTCCGATTTACCCACCACATGACTCTCTGTTTAACCTTATTTTACATAATGTTAGAAAAGAAATACTCAGCACCCAGTTGTGTCAAAAACAATTCTTTGTTTATTCTTATTTTAATATATGTTGTACGGCATTGTTAGAAAGTGAGCTATGATTCTAGAAAACCAAACATTTAATAAATTGCTTAACTCATATAAGTTCAATCAATCAATAAACACTTAGTAACTAGTACAAAGTGACTGATTAATAAGTGCTGGGAATATGAAAAGAGGCAAAAGACAGTCCTCAAAGACTACCCTCAAGGAGCTTATAGTCTACTGGGGGAGACAACATGCAAACAAATATATACAAAGCAAGCCACATACTGGATAAACAGGAGATAATTTTTAAAAGAGAAGGCACTGTAACCAAGAGGGATTGGGGAAGGCATCCTGTAGAAGTTAGGATTTTAGTTGGGACTTGAAGGAGCTGGGAATTCTGAAACTTTCAGAAATACACTTACATGTGTATTACCTGAAGTTTAGAAATATCTCTTTCTACACTCAACAGATATTCCATTATACCAAATTATAAATTGCTTATAGGTGAATTTCAAAGTTAAAAAAAAATTTTGATTTATTTCTTGAGTGTATTTTATGATTTATATCTTCAAAGTGGGTTTACCCTTACATATTATTTCACTTCTTGAAGTAGAGTATTCCCTAAGAAGTGGTTTTTGGTATATTTTTAATTGCTGCGAAATTATTTCTAAACTATGTGACTATGTAACAGATCCCAGAAGAATCAAACTGTCTGCTAGCTAATTTCTTTTCCCTCAAAACTTCAGTAATGATTAATTCGTGGTTTTAAAAAACTCTGCTTTAGAATTCAAGAAATATTTGTCATATTTTTCTGAAACAGTCACTTAACATTCATTTAAACTGTTACCCTCCTAGCCATACCAGATCTCAAACTATATTATAAAGCAATAATCATCAAAACTATCTGGTACTGGTTTGGAAATAAGAGTGGTGGATCAGTGGAATAGATATGTTCACAAGACACAGTAGCAGATGATCATATTAATCTAGTGTTTGATAAACCCAAAGACCCCAGCTTCTGGAACAAGAACTTACTATCTGACAAAAACTTCTAGGAAAATTAGAAAACAGTATGGCAGAAATCAGTTATACACAAACATTTTAACACTGAATACCAAGATAAGGTCAAAATGGGTACATGATTTAGACATAAAGGGTAATACCCTAAGCAAATTAGGAGAGCAGATCTATGGAGAAGGGAAGAATTTAGGACCAAAAAAGAGATGAGAGCATTATGGGATGGGAAGTGGATAATTTTTGTTATATTAAATTAAAAAGGTTTTGCACAGACAAAACCAAAGCAACCAAGATTAGAAGGAAAGCAGAAAGCTGGGAAACAATTTTTGCAGCAAGTGTCTTTGATAAAGACCTCATTTCTCAAACCCCATGGAATTAACAAAGATACTAATTGAGAAAATTAGTAACTTCAGCAAAGTCACAGGCTACAAAATTGTCCAAAAAATCAACAACATTTCTATATAACAACAACAAAACACAAGGCAACAATGGAAGTGGAAATCCTATTCCAAATAACCACAAAATACACAAAATATCTGGGGATCAACCTCCCAAACCACACAAAAAAATTATATAGATTCAATTACAAAGCACTCCTTGAAGAACAAAAGGACAATCTACATAGCTGGAGGAATATGCTAGTGGCTAGGCCATGCCAATATACCAAAATTGTCTTGCACTTTTAGTGCTATACCAAGAGGATAGCTCACAGAGATTGATAACAATAACAAAAATCATTTGGAAAAACAAAAGATCTAGAATATCAAAGGAAATGATGAAAAGAAGTAAGTAAGGGAGAATAGCACTTCTAGACCTCAAACTATATAGAGAACTGAGTCAAATTTATAAGAATACAAGTAATTTCTCAACTGATAAATGGTCAAGGAATATAAACAGTCAGTTTTCAAATTAAGAAATCAAAAGTATCTATAGTCATATGAAAAAGTGCTCTAAATCACCTTTGAAACTCAAACTTTTTTTTTAAATGAATGTTAAAATTTATCTTTACATGTAATCGGAAAAAAGAAAATATTCTTAGTAAATAAATGAACTGTTGCTAGCTGATCAGCTATCCATCTGATAAATTCCTCAATATCAAATTTAAATTCAAAAGATTTCAGTTTTCAGAAATTTAAGTATGTGCTGGGTTTGTCTTTTTGTTGTTTTGGGGTTTTTTTTAAAGATTGAATCTTATTGGACTTACGAAGTATGTCATGGAAAACACATTCGGCAGTATCATGAAGAAAAAGAAACTGGTCAGGTATGTTTTTCTTAAGCATGATCAAACCTTGTCACATCTTCATAATGAAATTTGAGTGTCAGTCACACTATTTTGGACCTCTCAAAAGGAATTATCTTATAATAATCTCTGTATGTGCCACATCTATCTTCTAGGCTATGAGTACCTTGAATATAGAAACAATGCCATACCTTTCTCTAAACCTTGTCTCTTCTAATGCCAAAAATCTGTGGTAGATGCAGTGGTAAATATATGTCAAATCAAATTGAACAAGAGTAAGAATTTTTAAATACTTTATTTTTAAAGTAATTATATTAGCAAAGTCAGCAATCCATAAATATAAAATATTTATTAAGTAACTACCCAAGTTCTCCCATTCTATTATTAGAATTTCTAGGTATTAGAAATACAAAGATTAAAAAATAACACAGTCCCTACCTTCGAGGAACCTATATTATATATATAGGTAAGTATAATAAAAGAGTAATAGGGACAAAAGAGAAATTTTTTAAAGGTGCTTTAAGAAAATTTGGGGGAAAAGAAAATATTTTTTCTGCTAGGAGATCGAGAAAGGCTTTCTACGACTTAAAAACTCTGATCAAAGAAATAACTAACCATGACTCCAGAGGACCAGTTTTAAGATATGCTACCAACTTGACAGGGAGGTGATAATAGACTTAAGATACAGAATGAAACATATATCCTAGGGTATGCCCAGTGTGGGAATTTGTTTTGCTTGTGTGTACATATTTGTTACAAGAGTTTTCTTTTCATTTTGAGGGTCAAGGATACAGGAAGAAAAGGATGACCTGGGATAAGGTTCCCCCCTGTACTACCCTCAAAATAAAAATAGAGCAGAAGGAATCACAGATAAACAGGACAGCTTTGAAAGTTACATTTTGAATTTATTATGTATTTAAAAAGAAAAGCAAGCCCTACATTCACAGTTTCATATACAATCCTCTCCTTTCCTACAATGTACATGGTATTAAGTTCAATTTTTTTTAAATGGGGAAGAAGTCTTCAGGTAAGAGATAGCACTTAAACTAAAGAAGAAAGGATACTGAAAGGCTGGGATGAGAAGGGCACTAGGGAAGGCATTGAAGTAAAAGTTAACACGGTAAATTAAAGTAACTAAAAAACAGTCCACTGTGTCTCAAAAGCAGATTACCTGAAGGGAAGTAATGTGAAATAGTACTAGAAGGCTATACTGGAATTAGATTGGAGAAGGGTTTAAATGCCAAGCCATTGTATTATAAAAGGGTGGGCAGTATAGAGTCATGCAGGGTTTTTAAGAAGAGTGTAACATGTAAATATTGGAAATATTATTAAAGCAGCTTGGTTGGGAATAGATTAGTGAGTGTAGAAGTAGGGGTAGCTGCCTGAGCTAAGATGGGCATAGTGTGAGGGAAGAAAAGGGAGTAGATGTGGGAGTTATGGAGATAGAATCAATAGGAGTTAGCAAATGAGAGACACAAGACTGTTGGAGTGGAGGGAATGGGATGGGGGAGTAGGACTTAAGGATTCCTAAGGTTTTGAGGCACTCAGCCTGGGAGAGTGGTAGTTTTATCAAAAAAGAAGATTTTATCAAGGAAGACCTGAATAAGTTTGAGAGACCAGTGGAACATCCCATAAAGGTGTCCAGCAAGTAGTTGGGAGTATAGAACTAGGATTTAGGGGAGAGATTATCAGATTAAAAATTGAGATTGCAAAATCCTGAAGATTGAATGGGTAGTGAGAAAATGGAGATGTTATATGTAAGGATTTAGCATTGGTTAGGAGAAAGCTAGGACAGTAGCTCAAGCAGATGACGAGATCAAGGGAAGTATTTTTAAGGGTAGAAGAGACTTAAGGATATTTTTGGGCAGTAGGAAAAGCATTAGTATGTAGCAAGAGATTAAAGATGAAACAGAAAAGGAAAGATTGATGGGTCCCAAAAGAGACAGAGAGAAATAAGATAAAAAGTATATGTAGAGAAGTTATCTTTAGTAAAGATTCTCAGAATTAAGAATTAGAAGGAACCTATGACCTTGTAGTCCAGCACGTACTTGAAAAAGAATCCTTACTACAGCATACCTAATGATAGGAGCGTTTGCCTAAAGACTTCCAATGAGGAGAAACCCACTCTACTTTTGTACAGCTCTAATTGTTAAGTTTACCTGACATCAAGTCTTGATATGAATCTTAGCAACTTATTATATTGTTCCCAGTTCTTCCTTCTGGAACCAAAAAAGCAGATGTTAACCCTTCTGCATGACAGTATTCATTGACTTGAGAGTAAGAGTAGAGAAATCAAATGGTAGAGATGACCCAGGATTGAAGATGAGCAGGGCGTGAATAGCCAAAAGGTGTTCAAAGTTAGAGGACAGTGCCTTTTTGAACTAATTAATTGCAAAAAATTTTACTTTTTTTTTTCATCTTCAAATATAGAAAATAAATATTCAAGAATACTTCCTTGGGAACAAGATGAAAAAGAGCCCACTTACTGAAGCAGGTTTGTCATTGCATGATAATTTAATAGTAAGACTTGAATTTATCTTAAAGTATATGTTTAAGTAGTAATTACTTCTAAGATGGTCTCAGAGACTCCAAATTATAAAAATAGTAAAGCTCCAAATTATTAGAAATTATTTCTAAAAGTCTTTTCCTTTTTTATTCTGTGTTTTGGCAAATACTGATTTTTTTTCCTCCTTCACCTGTTTTTCTCAGGAAGATACATTTGGAAATGTGCATGTGTACACACTTGTACAAATATTGTGAAGGCAGTTTGTGAATTAACTTGGCCAAGTTCCCTAGCGAATATTTTATTCAGGGATAATAAGCCCAGAATATTTCAAAAGATTATTTTTAGTCTTAATATGAATAAATAAAGAGACCATTTTTCCATCTGAAGATAAAAAAGATAATATCTTATGTGATGATGTTCTTTAAAATTTTTCAAGGAAGTAAACAAAATTACTATATGTTGGCCAATAAAAGTAAAACTCATATATGTATGTCCTATATTAAAATTTTCTTTCAGAAATATTTTAATGGAAACCTTCAAGGAAGTTTGGAAGAACCCATTTATTTCAAATTTTGCGTTTCTAAATTAATTGAAAACTTTGTGTCATTTGTAACTGCATTATAAGTTGCTACACTTACTTCATTCATTCTTATATTACTCCATAGAAAAAGAAGAAAAGGAAAAATCCAAAGAAAGTTCAAAGGAGGCAAGTGAAAAATGTCAAGTTTCATTCTTGCTACCCATTGACAGTGAGGCCACTGAATTAAGAATTTGATTTACATAATATTTCTTTTACTGATCAGTGTTTAGAGTAGGGCAATATCTTCTGTGACTGTTACTAAATACAATGTAAACCATTGACTTATTTCTTCATATTGAAGTTATTGCTTTTTTTAAAAGAAGCTTTAAATGTAATAGCGTAATCTTATTCATTTTTAAAGATTCTATAACACAAGCCTACTAAAGTTGAATTTAGAGAGTCTGCTGTTAATATTGTCAGAATATATTGTTAACATATTCTGCCATGAGACTATTAAAAGAATGTTGCAAACAACATGAAATTATTATGCTGTCTTTTAAAAAGTCCCTTAGGATTAAAATCAGTTACATTCCTGACATCTCCTGTGTATGACAGGTCTTTAAATTATAGGTCATCTAGGTTAACTGCTAAGTTGCCTGTGTTTCAACAAATCAGCCTGAAATTCCCATTCCCGCCTTAAAGAAATGTTCCCATATCATGCAGCTTGCCTTAATGACCATCACAGGATTCTTGAGTTTCTCCCTGGTATTTCAGCTATATAGGTGACCATTACAAATACTTTACCAAAAATGATGTTTTTCTTTTTGCCTTAAATGTTCTCCTTTCAGCCCTGTAATTACCAGCTTGGAAAAAGTATACTTACGGGGAAGTGCCAGCCTTCAAATCTGGGGACATGCAAATTTTCCTGCGGTTTGTGTGAATATTCTAAGACTTGGGTAGTTTATTAGAATTGAAGTAACATCATAAAAGAAAATAGAAAAATTGTTGATTAATGCAGTAAGGTGGTCTACTTTAGCAGAAATTTTATTTTGGAAAAAAATTTCTTCTAAGATTTTTGAGTTAAACCAGCTTAGAAGGAGGAAGTCAGAAGAAAATGGGCAGCTAGAGGCATGCACACTGACAACGAGAAGAAATGGTGGATAATTGACAACCTGCCATCCAGGGCAGAGGTGTAATCCAGAGTGGATACAGAAAGAGAACTGCATGGCCATTTAGGGCAATAGGCAGCCTGACAGGCCTCAAAAGCCTGTCAAGGCTTCAATGTATTGCTGGAAGGGGAGAGAGATATTTGGTCCATATCTCTGATGTGTTCAGTGTGAAAGACTCCCATTGCAAAGACTCCCTCCTCCAATGCAGTTTTGCTCATTAGTCTCACCCTGTTGATTCTCGCAGAGATGCCAGGGGTACCAATAGATGATTTGTTTATGATTTTGTAGAGTTATAATGTGTCAGGGGCAGGACTTAACGTGCAAGTCTTACTAACTCTAACACTGGCCCTCTATCCATTAGGCTTAATAGTGGATAATAATAATTGATGTTCATAGAATAAACCTGAATAATTAAGAAAATGGTTAGATTTATGTTTTATTATATTTTTTTTAAAGCAGAAAGTTTTATTTTAAAAGTTTAGGAAGATTTCTGTCTTGAAGAGGCAAGCTTCCATTTTCTGAAAATTTCACTTAATGTGAAATGGAAATATAATAATAATCACATAGATCACTTTCCTCATAACAGTTCTATGAGGGAGGTAGTATAAATATTTTTATCCCCATTTTAAAGACAGGGAAATCTTACATAAAGACATAGTCAGCAGTTGCACAAAATGAGTAAGTATGGATGGGCTAGAATCTGCATCGTTAGTATTTACTTCCAAATCAATGAGATAATAGGTCTACTGAATACTTTAAAATAAGTTAGGGAGGGGGGGAGGTAGAGGACAAGGGTATGGAGCCAAGAAGGCAGAATAGAGGCAGCAACCCGGCCAAACTCCTAACATTTTCTTCCAACCAACTTTAAAATAACACCCTAAATCGAATTTTGGAGCAACAGAGCCCACAACAGGTTAGGGTAAGATATTTTTCCAGCCTAAGACACCTTAGAACGTTGTTAGAAGAGATCCGATACCACAGTGGGGGCTAACCTAGAGCACACATGGCAGTAATATCCGGTGTGGGCCTTGGAGGTGACATTGGCAGTAGAAACTTCAAGAACTCTCAACCCACAGTAAGGGAATCAGAAAATTGGTCAAAAGAAGATTACAGGGAACCGTTTGCTGGCCCTGGGTACAGGACGTGGCAGTTTGGCGGTACTATTGCCTGTATGCAGTCCTGGGTTGCAGTTCCAAAGTAGAGGGGAGTGGTTGTGGTTGGTTACAAGGGAGCAGGAGTCCTGGATGCAGTTCCTAGGCAGAGAGAAACACTAGCCCTTGAAGCTGCAGGAGAGCAGGGGACATAGTCACAGTTCAAGGGCTAAGAAGAGCTCTAACACTCATGGCTGCAGGAGACCAGGAGCCTTTCTGGGTAAAGACCAAAGCACAGACCTGAAAAGCAGTAACCACAGTTCCTCAGAGGATACCTCCTGGGAAGCACTGAAAACTTGTAAACCCCTAGAACTAGCACTGAAAACAGTAGCATGAAAAAGCCTTTAGCCTGGGACAATGCTTCTTCACTCCACAGTGAGCAGAGCCCAAGTGTAACATAAAGTTCAAAGTCAAGAAACAGTTTGGAAAAATGAGCAAACAGCAATTTTTTTAAAAAAATGCCTGACCATAAAAAGTTACTATAGGGGCAGGAAAGACCAATTCAGAAGACAACGGTGTGAAAACAGCTACAAGCAAAGCCTCAAAGAAAAATGTTAATTGAACACAAGCTGAACAAGTATTCCTGAAGTGTTAAAGAGATAGAGTGTTAGAGGAGGAATGAGGAAAAAAAATGAGTGATGCAAGAAAATTAAGAAAAGAAATTACAGCTTGGTAAAAGAGGCACCAAAAAAATGAAGAAAACAATACCTTAAAAAACAAAATTAGCCAAATGGTGAAAGAGGCACAAAAGTTTGCAGAAGAAAAGACCTTCTTAAAAAGCAGAATAGGCTGACTGGAAAAGGAGGTACAAAAGTTCACAAGAAAAGAACCTTTTTTAAAGCAGAATTAGCCAAATGGAAAGAGTTACAAAAACTCAGTGAAGAAACTAATTCCTTAAAAATTAGAATTGGGCAAGTGGAAACAAATGACTGACTCCATGAGAAATCAAGAAATCAAAGAATTTAAAAATATCAGAAAACAGGAACTGTCTTATTATAAAAACAACTGACCTGGAAAATAGATCCAGGAAAGAAAATTTAAGAATTATTAGACTGTCTGAAAGCCATAATCAAAAAAAAGAGCTTAGACATCATATTTCTTTCTTTCTTTTTTTTTGGGGGGGGGCAGTTGGGGTTAAGTGACTTGCCCACGGTCACACAGCTAGTAAGTGTCAAGTGTTTGGTCTGAGACTGGATTTGAGCTCAGGTCCTCCTGACTTCAGGGCCGGTGCTTTATCCACTGTGCCACCTAGCTGCCCCTTAGACATCACATTTCAAGGAGTTACCAAGGTAAATTGCCCTGATAGCTTAGATCCAGAGGATAAAATAGAAATTGAAAGACTCTGTGGATTATATGAAAGAGACCTTGATGAAGACTCCCAGGAATCTTATAGCCAAATCCCAGAACTCACAGGTCAAGAAGAAAATATTGTAAGCAGCTAGAAAAAAAAAATTCAAATATCATGGAGCCACAATTAGGATAACACAAGATTTAGCAGTTTCCACATTAAAGAAACATAGGGTTTGGAATATGAGATTCCAGAAGACAAAGGAGCTAGGATTACAACCAAGAATTACCTACCCAGCAAAACTGAGCATAATCTTTCAAGGGGAAAAAAGTAGATATTTAATGAAATAGAAGACTTTCAAACATTCCTAATGAAAAGATCAGAACTGAAAAAAGAAGTTTGACATTCAATCACAAGACTTAAGAAAAGCATAAAAAAAAGTGAACATGAAAGAGAAATAAGAGACTTAATAAAGTTAAACTTATATCCCTGTATGAGAAGATGATACATATAACTCCTAAGAACTTTGTCATTATTAGGGCAATTAGAAGGAGTCTACATAGACAGAGGGCACAAGAGTGACTTAATTATTTTGGAATGATCTTTAAAAAAAAATGGAGTTAGAAGATATATTGGGAGAAGGGAGAGAACTCACCCATAAAATGGAAGCAGCTAGCAGGATCTAACAATGTGTTATTTACAGGAAACACATGAAACAAAGACAACAGAGAGTTAAAGAAAGACAACCAAGAGTTAAAGGGGCTAGAGCAGAGTCTGTTATTCTTCAACTTATGTAATAAAGGTAGTGGTAGCAATTATGATCTCAAAGCAAAAGCAGAAATAGACCTAATTAAAAGATAATCAGGGAAACAACATTTTGCTAAAAAGTTACCATAGACAAATAACATTAAAAAATCTTCCAGCAAGTTTCTCTCATAAAGGCCTCTGTTCTCAAATATCTAGAGAAGTCAAATTTATAAAAAAAATTAGAAACATTCTCCGATTGATAAATGGTCAAAGAATATAAACAGGCAGTTTTTAATAGAAGATTAATAGATTTAATAGAAGAAATCAAAGCTATTTATAGTCATATTAAAAAAAACACTCTAAATCACTATTGATTATAGAAATTTAAATTAAAACAATTCTGATGTATCATCTCACTCCTACCAGAAATGACAAATGTTGGAAGGAACATAGGAAAATATGTATACTAATGAACTGTTGATGCAATTGCAAATTGGTCCAACCCTTCTGGAGAACAGTTTGAAACTATGCCCAAAGGGCTATAAAACTGCATACCCTTTGACCTCGCAATACCATTACTAAGTCTGTATCCCAAAGAGATCAAAGAAAAGAGGAAAGGACCTAGCTGTACAAAATATTAATAGCTCTTTTTGTGGTGGCAAAAGAATTGGACATTGAGGGGACCAGCATCAATTGGGGAATGGCTGAACAAGTTGTATATAATTATGATGGAATATTATTGTGCTATAAGTAATGACAGCAGGAATGGTCTCAGAAAAACCTGAGAAGACTTATATGAACTGACACAAATGAAGTGAGCAGAGCCAGGAGATCAGTAACAGCAATATTGTAACAGTGACCAACTGTGAAAGAACTCTGATCAATGCAGTGGTTCAAAACAGTTCTGAAGGATCGTGACGAAAAATGCTGTCCGCTTCCAGAGAGAGAACTGCTGAATTCTGAGAATAAATGTATAATTTTGCTCACTTTCTTTGTTTTTCTTGATTTTTTTTTGCAACTTGACTAATATAGAAATATATTTTGCATGATTTCACATACATAATTGGTATCATATTGCTTGCTTTCTCAGTGGAGAAGGGGCTGGAGGGAGGGAGAGAATTTGGAATTCAAATTTTTTTTAAAATGTTAAAAATATAAATTTTTAAAAGATAAAATAAGTATTTTCAACTTTAGTAGGCTTGCGTGACCCAAAGACATTCAATAACTTATTAAAAAACACAGTAAAATTCAGAGCTAGGACTCAAACCTTGGACTTTTGACTCCAAGACCATTCTCTGTGTACTATAAGCTGTAATACTTGTAATATAAAAAGAGTGTGTATTTTATTATATAAATTTGTGTGTGAGCTTATTGATTAATTTCCTTCTGTGCAGTTCTACAGCTGGAGTTGTTGAGAATGCCTAATAAGAAAACTCCCTCTACCAGTGCAGATCAGAAACTGTTACGAAACTAATCATCTTGAAGTGTTGCCTAGTGTACTAAGAAATTAAATGACTTGACCATGGTCACATGCCCAGTTTGTTTCTGAGGCAGGACCAGAACCTGAGATGTCCTTACTTCAAGGCCAGCTTTCTCTCCCAACTGTGCTGTTGCTGCGTCTCCAAAAAAAAAAAAAGTACTCTATTATGTAATAGGTACTTTTAAGATACAGAAATTTTTCATGAAATATATAAACTATAAAAATGAAAATAGGGCTCTAAATGAATTTATAGTTCTTCCCTAACATGAACGATGGCTTAGATTTAGTGTGTGTATTTCATATATGATGAGCATTTTCTTATAGTCTGTGCATGTGTTTTGGGTTTTTGGTTGGGGCAAGGATTTAAAGAACCATTAAAATAATCAAGAACACTGTATAGCTTTAAAAATGGACTTATTTTGAAATTATTAAGCATTACAATTAAGGCAATTTCATTACTCTGTATAAAACTTGCTTTGGCAATATGTGTACTTAATTAGATAAGGATTCATAAGTCAAAAAGAAAATTAGCAAGAAGAGATCTTCAAAAATTACCTGTGTATTTGTGAACTCTTAAAGTATGCAGCTGTTTTAAGTTTATAAGAAATGTCTTTTGTGGTGGTTTTTTTCCTTTTGTTTTTAAGATTCCCACTAAAAATATCGAAGGTCAAATGACTCCTTACTATCCTGTGGGAATGGGAAATGGCACACCTTGTAGCTTGAGACAGAACCTCCCCAGATCAAGTACTGTGATGTATATCTGTCATCCTGAAGCAAAACATGAAATTCTTTCAGTAGCTGAAGTTACTACTTGTGAATATGAAGTTGTCATATTGACACCTCTGCTGTGCAATCATCCTAAATATAGGTAAGGTATTCAGAGTTAATAGCATTATATCTGTCAATCCTAAATATTTGCTCCACCCTTTGTACACAGTAGCTTATGCCCTTGTTCTGTTTGAATAGGTTCAGATCTTCCCCAGTGAATGACATATTTTGCCAGTCACTTCCAGGATCACCCCTTAAGCCTCATAATCTGGTACAGTTGGAGCAGCAACAAGAAGTAATGAAGATCCCTTTTAGAAGAACTAAAGAGGTATAAAAATGTCTCTTGTTGTTAACTTAATGCTGTTTATTTAATGCTTTGTATTAATATGTCTTAATATGTCCGTGATTTCTGTAGTTCATTCTCTTTTATGACCTAAACTATATTGGCTTTAAATAAGAAATTTTAATTTTTTATTTTCCTTATTTCAACTCACCTTTCTGTTCCATTCATTTCTACCTTCCCTTTACTACTACAGAGCTTTAAGGTATTTTGAATTTTGTAAACATTCTATTCAGTTTTTTTCCTTCAAATTTCCATTTTTAGCTTCAAATATAATCCATACTTTTCCCATCTTTCCTGATCTTTAAGCATTTAAATGGACATTAACAAATTTTTAAAATATCACTTATAATGTACCAAAGCATTTATTTGCCTTGTGAAAGAAAATGTGTGTACTCTTTCTTTATCCAGTGACCAACAGTGTCACTCTGGAAGGAGGAAAAAATAATATATAATGTATAGATTCTTTGACACACTACATTGAGTTTCTATTCCAAATGAAATCCTGGCCTGTCTTCTTGGTAGTATTCTTAGTACTAGAGCAAGTGTGTTGTGGTAGAAAGAGTATTAGACTTAGACTGAAAAAGTTATATGTTTGAATTCCTGCTTTGCTACTTCTCTGCCTTTGTGACCTTGGATTCATCCCCCTGGCGATTAATTTCTTTATCTGTAAAATTAGGTTTAATTAGATATCATCTAGTCCTGTGCACATCCTATGGTCTGTTATACTCATAGGTGACTTCAACCAAAATACTGAACAAAATCCAACTTTGTTGTATTTTTTCAAAGGAAAACAGTACAGTTTTAGTTGATACTATAAAGTTTCCATTTCAGTAAGTGAAGTTTTCAAGGAAATTTAGGGTCTAATGCTTTAAAAATATTTTTTCTAGCATTTGTAACATTTCACATATCCTAAATATCAGTATTTTTTGGGTAATATTCTAGGTTCCATGAATGGTTAAAACTGAATTGAATTACTGACATTTTTATAAGTATAGTGAATATGTACGGCTTTTCTTTTTCAGGTTTTAATAGGTAAAATTCAGTTTGAGCTTCAGGCTTTAAATCTGTATAATTAAAATTCAGGTTCCCTCATTCACCCTCCGCTATAAATTTTTCTTACCCTTTTATTCCTTTCAGCAAAAAATAAGAATGTTTTATGTTTGCTTCTGAGGGTTTTTTATGTGCTACCTGGTGGTATACATCACATTCATTTAGCAATAGCAAAATGGTCTTGACATTTGGGTTTATGAAAGTGAAAATATTATATAAATACAAGCTTACAACTTGAGAATGAATCCTTGAGAATGAAAATTTATCTTCTGTCCAAAAGGAGCAATAGTGACCTTTGTTCATGTTCTGTAAAACATTGAAAGGTTTTGAACAAATCATTGATGTGATCAGATCTGTACAGAAGGAAGATTAATCTGGTATATGAATAATGAATGAAGGGAAGAGAAAATTGAGTACAGAAGACCAATTGGGAGACAATTGTAATATTCTAAGTAGATGGTAGTGACAGATTTACTGGGTTGGTGGCAATAGAAATAAAAATTCAATCTCAGCAAACATTTATCAAGTGCCTACTGTGTGTCAGGCATTGTGCTAAGCACTGGGGATACCAATAAGAAAAAGACTGTCTCTGCCCTTAAGGAGCTCATAATCTAATGAGGGAAGACAGCACACAAAAGGAAGCTGAAAAGCTAAGGAGGTGGGGGTATTGCCACTAGGGGGCACACGGGGTACCTTACACTGAAGCTTCGTATTCTGTGGAGTTCAAACCAAGCAGAGCTGCAGATGGCAAGTGGAGAATAGATTCTGAAAAGATCTTTGAAACCAGTCACCTTAATGATTTGATTTCTGTGTTGTCTTATATTCTTGGATCTTTTCTTTCTATCACTATTTTTCTTTGCCTCTATCTCCTGTTCTTAAACTATTCTTCAGAGATGCAATTATCATTGGCAAAGCAAGGAAACAAATAGCCAGTAAGACCATAAGATCATAGAATTAGAGTTTGAAGGGACTTTAGAAGCTAGCAACTCCTTCATTTTTACAGATAAGGAGGCTGAAACTCAGAGAGTTAGGTCATTTAGCTAAGGCCACACAGGGAGTACATGGCAGAAGCAGGATACAAATCCATCTATTCTAATTCAGTCCTCTGCTCACAGTACCATGATGCTTCTCTAAGAGTATTTGTATAAGCTTATATATGTGTGTGTGTGTGTGTGTGTGTGTGTGTGTGTGTGTGTGTGTATATACACACACACACACACACACACACACACACACATACATATACATCTATATATGTGTATATATATCTGATGTTATGTATAGGTATATGAAAGCAATATTAAAAGACATGAGGTTTTAAATTAATGCAGTGACTAATCTTGACTCAGCAAGACTGATGGTGACATAGATGTTCCTCCTTCAGAAAGAAAGGGGTGAACCCCTCCCTTCATGGAGGTAGGAGGGCCACAAGTATTGCACATTTCACCTATTTTTAAATTTTTTCAATGTATCAGTCAGTTTTGCTGATTTTTTTTTCTCTCCAAAAAATACTATTTGTCTTAGGGATGGCTCTCTGAGAGGAAGATAAGGAGGGATAAAGGGGTACTATGGTGATATAAGAAACAAAAAATGGGGGGCAGCTAGGTGGCACAGTGGATTGAGCACCAGCCCTGAAGTCAGGAGGACCTGAGTTCAAATCCAGCCTCAGACCAAACACTTGACACTTATACTAGCTGTGTGACCCTGGGCAAGTCATTAACCCCAGTTGCCTAAAAAGAAACAAAAAATGAAAAAAATTATTTAAAAAAAAAAAAGAATGATATATAGCCACCATCCAGCTCCATCTTGGTTAAACATTTACATATGCTGCTCATAACTTGAGTGCCTCAAGCTACTCACTGCTTAAAGCAGTTTCAGTAAAACATGGATCTATACCAATGGTATCCCCTGCTTGCTTGCTGTCCATCTGAAGGGGCTAACTACGGGGATCTCTCGTAAATAAATTTAATAAACCCCCTGAAACCCCCTGAAGGGGGCAGCTAGGTGGTACAGTGGATAGAGCACCAGCTCTGGAGTCAGGAGGACCTGAGTTCAAATCCAACCTCAGACACTTGATACTTACTAGTTATGTGACCCTGGGCAAGTCACTTAACCCCATTGCCTAGCAAAACAAACGAACAAAACAAACAAACAAACAAATAAATAAATAAATGAAGCCCTTGACGGAGGGGGGGAAAAGGTGTTAGATTGCTGGTGTAGAAATAGGCAATACATTGTCAGATATGGTCAGTGTGTATGTTGATTTTGTTTAACTATACTTCTTTGTCTGAAGAGAGGATTCTTTGAGGGGCCAAGGTAATTGGGAAGTGACAGCACTTGTGGGAGTTAGGGGGAACATAAAGCATCAGTGCAACATTTTTAAAGTGTACATTGAAAGCCCTTAAAGATTCATGTGCTTAATTTCAGGAAGAACCACATTCAACTAAAGAAGACAAATTTACCTCCATCCCCAAACCAGTTGTTCTTGGCACTCATCAACTCCTCACTGTTGGAACAACACACATCTCCAAACTGACTGATGACCAGCTCATAAAGGAATTTCTTAGTGGCTCTTATTGTTTTCACGGGGTGAGGAATGAATTATTAAACTCTTAAATTAAGAGTCTTATTTTTTAGGGACTCGCTAACTGTACATTGACAGGATTAAAAATTGAAAGATGTGCTTGTCTTTAGGAAACAACAATTTTCTGGGAAACATCCAATTAGGATTTTTCCAGTTAAAATTGGCTGGTGACCACAATGTAACCTTAAAGGTGTTACACTTTGTCAATTCATGTCAATTAACTCTTATCTTAAGCAAAAATCAATTAGTTTGAAAAATTGTACGTGTACTACAGCTACTTCAGTGGTTGACACAAATCACAGTGGTTTTTTTGTCATAATTTAAATGGTGAAATTTATTTGATTTCTGATTTTTTTAGTAGAAAGCCAGGATTAAACATAACTAAATTCTGTAAATGTTACACACTAGTCTCCGATATTGTCTAGTTTTGAGTCTGTAAAAGATATGGAAGAAAGTACATGAAGGTAGAAAATTTTAACCTTTTCGAACTTATTTTCCTAATATATGCTGCTTCATTGCCTAAATTAGTTTGTACATGATGATTAAAATAGCAGCTGCATTAAATGTATTCCTGCTGACACGTGGTAAAAAATGAGAAGAAAAATGGGAAGTTGCATTCTGGTTTAATATTGCTAATATTTCCATCGCGAACTATATTTCCCTCGTCTGTGTTCACATTCTTTATTTCATATTGTCGTAATCGAAAAACATTTTGTCAAATGCCTCTTGTATAGTGTAAGTAGAACTGATTTCACTATATTTCTCACTTGTACTGAGAGACCTCTGAAACTGTCACTGACTTTTTTTTTTTTGCTATCTCTTAGGGTGTAGGTTGGTGGAAATACGAATTTTGCTATGGCAAGCATGTTCATCAGTACCATGAGGTATGTAATAGTATTTATGTCGTCATACCACTACATATTTATGTTATTATACCACTATAAATTGAAGTTATTTTTATTTTATGAAACAGTTGGTATTGCAAGGAAAATCTGGTTAAATCATCTATAAAGTCTGAAAGATGAAGGACAGGCTATTAATTTTGAGCCAGTCACTTTAAAGTTTGCTCTTAGAAGGATCATTTATTCCTGTGAGCGTGTAAAAATCATTTTATGTATGGGAATGAAAATTTTATGTTAGTCTGATGTCTAAGATACCTTATGTATGGGCAATGATAAAGAGACAGACTTGGAGCCAGGAGGACTTGAGTTCAAATGTTGCTTCTGATTAGCTACATAACAAGGGTGAGTCACTTAAGCTCTCTGAGCCTCAGTTTGCTCGGTAACAAAATAGAGATGATAATACCCATTTTACATACAGGGGCAACTAGGTGGCATAGTGCATAGAGCATTGGGCCTGGAGGCAGGAAGACCTGTGTTCAAATCCAGCCTCAGACTTTACTAGCTGTGTGACCCCAGGCAAGTCATTTAACCTCTTTTTGCCTCAGTTTCCTCATCTCTAAAATGCAGATAATAATAGCACCTACCTTTCAGGATTGTTGTGGGAATCAAATGAAATAATAATCGTAAGGCCCTTAGCATAGGGCCTGGCACATAGTAAGCACTATATAAATGTTAGCTATTATAGCTAGCTCTAAGTGTTGCTGTGAGGCCCAAAAGAGATAATATTTGCAAACTCTTCACAAATCTGAAAGTGTCCGATATCATAAGTATTATTATTTCCTGATGAAGCCCTAAGGTTTAGATTTGTGGCAGGTCATGAAAGTATTTTTTATGATAAGATTAGTGTTTTATGTAATGCATTATAAAAATTATATAACAGATGAAATAGGAAGCTAATATGTGAACATAGTTAATACATCTGGATAAACTAAGCCAGTTACTCTGAAAATAGATCCATCATATCCATCAGAGTCACGGTAACAATAAGAATAACTATAGTTAGACTGTAGTTAATGTTTGTCAAACATTAAAATTGCTATTACCTTTACATACATTATCTCGTTTGAAAAAGGTGAACATAAGATCTGAAATTAGTCATTATTCCCTTCTTTTCCTTTCTTCAATTAATAAGCATTTGTTAAGCACTCATTGTGTGCCATATACTGTTGGGCATTGGGGATACAATGACAAAAAAAATCACTTTTCTCAAAAAGATGATATTATATTACATCAGGGAATACAAGATAGAAAGATAGATTGATAGAGAATTTATTAAGTGCTTATGAATGGCAAGAACAGGGAAGACCAGCTTGACTGAACTGTAGAGTAAAAGAAACAAAGTAAATGGATAATGAAAATAGAAAGAGAGATTGCGGTTAGATTGCAAAGGGCTTTAAAATTTAAACAGAAGAGTTTGTATTTTTATCCTGTAGGCAGTAGGGAGCCAGTGGAATTTGAGTAATGGACTAGGGCATAAGTATTCATGGAAAATAAATACATTTCTGGACTCAAGGTCCCTTAGGTGGCAGCTTTTTATGTTCCACCCTTTTTGTGTTATATAATATGTACTTTTGTGGTGTTAATAAGATAAAAAGATTACTTTTTATGAGGAAAAATGTGGGTAAGGGGAGAAAATACTTTTCTGATGGTAATAAAATAAATTTTATATGGAATGAGTATTCTTCTGGCATAGGCAAGGTGTCTTAAAATCTAAGAAAATTTAGCAGAAACCTTTTTTTTTTTCCTGTATGAAGGGGAGTGGGAGGATAAGGGGTGATATGGATAGGGTAGGAATGAAAGGAAAAAGGGAGGAAGGGAAGGAAGAAAGAAAAGATCATAGGCTTATTGAGGCATCTTTTAAAAAAACAGAACAAAAGCGAGAAAGAAAGCAAGACAGCTTTGAAGGCTACAGATTGAATTTATTATATACTTTCTGAGAAAAGCAAACTGTACATAATGGAGATCTGCAGCCTTTTTGATATTAAGCCTAGAGTAATTTTATTTTATTTTATTTTGGAAATTAAAAGAAGCCACCTGCCCTTTGTCTCCTGAACTTTAGAGAGGACCGTATTTGAACCATCTCAGACAAATAAGACATCCTCTGACCTAGTATTTTTTATTGAATTATTCATTAAATCAGCAAGCAATATTATACTAAAACAATTTTGTATAATATTTAAGTGACAAAAAGTGATGTATACAATAAATAATAGTGAAGTTCAGAGAATGGGATATGAAAGTGACCTGGATGAATTAAAGATGATATTATGGAGAAGATAAGACTAGAGCTGAAAAGTCAAGGATAGATAGAATTTAGATAAATAGACTGTTAGACGAAGGGCATTCAGAGTAAAGCAAACAATATGAGCAAAGTGTTGACATTACAAATAAGTATGACATGTTTAGTGAATGGTATGGAAACTAGTTTGACTAGGACCTAGAAGAGCAGTTGGAGATAAAATCAGAAAAGTTGGCTGAGACAAAGTCATGAAGGGCCTTGAGTTTCAGATTCAGGAATTTGGCCTATTTTTTTTTTAGGAATTTTTTTTAGGAATTAGAAAACTGTTGAAGAAAAGCAGCATGATAAAATCAAGTACCTTAAGAAGATTAGATCTACATGAATATTTTTGTTTCCTCACAGTTGTAAGTAGCCAGAAGTGGAATAGGCTGCCTCAGGAATAAATGGGTTACCCCACCCCTCCACCCCCCCCATTTGCAGTCTTCAAATCATTGTTGGATAAGCACTTTAGGGTATGTGGTGGAGGGCTTCTTGTTCAGGTCTGAGTTGTACTATTGGCTAGTGTTGATCAAAAAAAATACAAGTTTATATGAGACATGCATTGCAATTGGATTTACTACAAGAGAAATGAACATGAATGTGGAACCCCTATATAGGTGCAAGGAGATCACAATTCAAACGAAGCTTGCATATTTATGAAATTGCAACAAAGAGAGGAGGAGGGGCATCAGTCTCTCCCAAATGGGAGTGGCATAAGAGAAGGAAAAGAGCAGTAGAAGTGGGGAAAGGATTAATTCCCTCTCAAAGGGAAGGAGAAAGGCAACGGCAAAAGCTGCATTCTTTTCCCTTGAGAATTGCTAGATCATGAAGATAGGATGGTCTGTTTATCTACCTAGCTGCGCAGAGATTCTAAGTCTGGTGCAAACTGACTGGCATCTTTTTTTTTGTTGCTGATTTGACTCCCAAGGTCACATAGGGAGTCCAGTTAGGAGTACAAACAACAAAGTATGTCAGGCAGGGTAGACTGTGTCATTGACATGTTCAGGACCTCCAGTATACTCCAGGTCCAGTGTTTTTGGAAAATATGGCAACTCAAGAAGACAAGTTCAGAAGGTCCCTTAATACTACTCAGGTCCCTTCCAACTCCAAAATTCTGTGATGAGTCTACAAGAGAATTGGAAGGGAGAGGGGCCACTTAAGAGGTAGTTGCTGTTCTCAAGGTTGATGGAAATCATTTGTATTTGTGTGGCATTTTGTAGTTTCCTGAGCCCTTTACATTAATTGTAGCTATCATTTGATGCTCAAAACCACACTGCCAAGTTGGTTGTTGAAGTAGGTGAAGCGATTTCCCCAAAGTTAAACATTTAGTAAGTGTCAGTCATAATGGTCCTAAGCCATTGCTTTTTCCCCACTACATTATAGCTTCTTACTTAGCAATTTTCAAAGGAAGTGATGGTACTGGTGGATATAGAAGAAGAGAGAATTGTAGGAGCCAGAGAATTGTTTGTAGTCTCGGTGAGTAGGAGACTGGTGGTGCCATTAATGAAAAGATAATTTGAGAGGAGAATCTAATTCAGCATGAAGATGGTAAATTTTGGATGCATTAAGGTTAAGGAATGGCTAGCTGAATGGATAGTATTCAATAGGTAGTTTCGATACAGGGCTAATGGTCAAAGCAAATTGGAAAAAGAGATGTGAGATATTGATATAGATATGATATTTCAAACTGTAAAACCTGTCACAAGCATTTTTCCATATTTTAGGATAAGGAAATTGGAAAAACATCTGTGATTGTGGGAACATGGAACAAAGAAGAGCATATTGAATGGGCAAAGAAGAATACTGCTAGAGCCTATCATCTCCGAGACGATGGTACACAAATAGTTAGGTAAAGTCCAAAGAAGAGCAAAGAAAAACCAGAGGGTGATGTTAAAAAATTGAATGCTTTCATTTACAACTTCAAGATTTCGAATTCCTCAAATAGGACATGACATTGTATTAGGATCCAAAGATATAGAATGAGCATGTGGCTGCTCTGATGCTTTCATAACTACACTAGGTCCAAAGGAACTCCATGCTTAATGCTAGTATTATTCTGAGGTTTCAATATATTTGGTACCGTTTCCTCTTAAAAAGTGGTATCATATGTCTTAAATGATCTCCTTTGATTATCAGACTTAATGACTTGGCTGGTACCCCTGCTTTCCAGCTATGTTAAATGTTAGTCTTCAGTCCTGGGACAAAGTGGGCAGTCATCTGATTTGGACTGCATTTTTTCTCTTGCCTCTCAGGCTCTGAGTTTAGCCTTTGAGGAGCTGATTGTACTGAGAGGCTCTGGTTTCTGAATGTGCTGGATTTTCTAGCTGATTAGAAATCTGGTTTCTTAATCTTAAGAATATTAGGTATAAACCTTTTACTTTTTTTTTTAATATGGATTGTGATTTGAATTGTAAATTGTAGGCTAATTTTAGCTGATAAGTAAACTTTATAAAATTTTAGAGGAATATTACACAAATTAACAAAAATAGGAAATGGGATTGTAACAAAGACTTTTTGCAAAGTAAGCAACAACAGCAACAAGAACGACAACTAAAATTTGTATAGCACTTATGGTGTGCCGGGTACTATGCTAGGCTTTTGACAATTATTATTTCATTTATTCCTCACAAGAACCCTGGTAAATAGGTGCTGTTATTATCCCCATTTTGCAGATGAGGAACCTGAAGCAAACAGAGGTTAAGTGACTTGCCCAAGGTCACACAGCTAGTAAGTGTCTGAGGCTGAATTTGAACTCAGGTCTTACTGACTCCAAACCCAGCATTCTGTCCATTATGTGACCTAGAGAAGTTAAATGACTCGCCTAAGGTCACAGGTAGTTATTTGTAGAGATTGAATTCACACTTAGGTCCATTAATCGTTCAGCTTTCCAAACTCAACATTTTCACCCATTATGCTATGAAAATAAAGTGGCTCTTCATTAACTCAGTAAGTAATATCTATTTAAAACCAAGTGCCAGTTATGTGCAATGGAGAAACACTAGAGGCCTTTCCAGTAAGATAACATATAAAGCAAGAAAGTCCATTACCAGCAGTTACTTGATATAGTTCTAGAATTGCTAGCTCTGTCAATAATATAAAAAAAAATTTGAGGGAGCAGACAAACAAGAAAAAAATATGATTTTTACAGATACGATGGTTTACTTAGAGAACCCTAGAGATTTAACCCCCTCAAAAAATGAAACAGTAACTTCAGTAAAGTAATAGGCTATAACGCCTAAGATTACATTGACTTTTTTGGAAGCTTCATCATATTGTAGAATTACATTGAGTTTTCAGTGTACTAAAACCCCCAGATTATTTTTCAGAACAACTCTTGCCTATCCATACCTTCTGCTAAATTATATTTGTGAAGTTGATTTTCTTGTACCCAAGTATAAGACTTTGTCTCTTTTGAATTTCATTGCTCTAGATTAAGCCCAATGCTAACCCAAAGGCTCAAGGCCTTTCAAGGTCCTTTTGGATACTAACTCTTATCTCCCATTGGGTTAACTATCCCTCCAAGCTTTGTGTCATCTACATATCTAATGAGTATCTATGCCTTTATCCAAGTCATTAATAAAAATATTAAATGTAACAGGACTAATCAGAGAACTCTGGAGTACTCCACTGGAGACCTCCTGCCCTGTTAATATTAAACCAGTGACAGCTACTCCTTGAATCTAGTCATCTAACCCATTCTGAATCCATTTGATTGTATGATCGTCTATTCCATATCTTTCCATCTCATCCATAGGAATAGCATGAGATATTTATCAGAAACTTTGCTAAAAATTAAGGTAATCTAGGTCCATATCATTCCCTTAATATATTAGTTTAGTAATCCTGTCAAAAAAAAGGCTATGGAATTAATCTAGAATGACTTGTGGTTTTTTGGGTTTTTTTAATCATCACTTTTTTGGTTTGGTTTGGTTTGGTTTGGTTTTTTGGGTAGGCAGTGGGATTAAGTGACTTGCCCAGAGTCACACAGCTAGGAAGTGTTATGTGTCTGAGGTCACATTTGAGCTCAGGTCCTCCTGAATCCAGGGCCAGTGCTCCATCTGTTGCACCACCTAACTGCCCCTAGAATGACTTGTTCTTGATGAAACCATGATTGCTTTTTATAGTCATTGCTTCCCTTTCTAGATGTTTAATCATCTCTTTTATGAGCCATTCTAGAATTTTCCCAGGAATCAAAGTTATTCACATTGACCTATAGTTCGCACACTCTTATCTTTTATTTTTTGAAAATCATAACATTACCCTTCTTCATTCTTGTGCTTTGTCTTCTATTTTCCATTATTTTTTCAAAAACCACTAATAGTGGTTCAATACTTACATCTGCCAGTTCTTTAAGGATCCAAGGATGTCATTCATCTGATTAGGTAAGCACTTGACTTCAACAGTGTCTTCTTACTGATCTTGATCATCAGCTCTTTGCTAGCCATTTTGTTATGTCGTTTCCAATTTAACAGTCAATCTCTTTAACAAAACAAAATATCAAATATTTGCCAGTTGTCATCATCTCATCCAGCTAAAGCTGGGTGCTTTTTTGGCTCTCCTTTTTTCATTCATAATACCTTTTAAAATTCCCTTTTTGTTGTTCTTACCTTTTTTCATCCATCTCAGCTCACTGTGAATTTTTGCATTCTGTTTTTAAAGAATCATACTACCTTCTTATATTCATTCATCTTCTATTACCTGGCCTTGCTTCCATCTTATATACAGTACTTTAAAAAAAAAAATCTTAAGTTAATGAGTTCCCTTTGCATTCACAACAGTCTCTTCAGATAAATCTGTTTTCCTTTATTAGAACTGTTTCCCTTTGAGTCTTCTGAAGTCCGTTCTTAAGCATCTCTTATCCCTCCTGGGCTGACTTCCCAGAAGTATTTTATTCTATGGGATCCTACCTGTCTTTCCTCTGGACTCTTTTGAAATGTACTTCCCAAAAATCTAGGATGCATGTCAAGTCAGACCAACCCAACAACTATTTATTAAACACTTATTATGCCAAGATTTCCTCTCTTCTGTCAGAAACTTTAAGGAGTGGTCACTTCACGTCATTGCCTTCTTACTTCCTCTTAGTAAGAATCAGATCCATATTGGTTGTACTCTCCACCTTTTGAAGAATATTAACTACTCTGCTTTTGGCAGAGAGAAAGCTCCAACAGATGACTGGATAATTTAAGATCATTATCGTATCATGATGCCTCTGTTCCCACTTTGTTTTGTTTCCAAAACTCCTCGTTCATTCCCTCTTTCCATCAGGGTGCCCTGTAGTATACTTTAGTTGACAAAATCACTACTTCTTCTCATTCCATTGACCTTTACCCATATACCTTCCTAAATGCTTTCCCTTTCTGGGCTCTGCATTTCCTCACATTGGTATACCTTTTTAGTAGACAGTTGTCTGTGGGACAAATTAGATAAATATATTCCAGAAACAAATAAACATAGTAGCATGTTTGGGTTTTATAAACCCCAAGACTTCAACTACTGGCATAAGGACTCACTATTCAACAAAAACTACTGGGAAAACTAGAAAGGAGTCTGGCAGAAATTATGTTTAGACCAACATCTCACACAGTATATTACAATTAGCACCAAATGAATATGTGACCTACATATAAACAAGTTCACATCATAAACAAGTTAAAGGAACAAGGAAAGAGATGACCTTTACAACTATGGATAAAGAAAGAGCTCTTGACCAAAAAAAAAAAAAGGAAAAAGAGGATCCCAGAAGATAAAAATGGACAGTTGCTATTACATAAAGTTGAAAAGCTTTTACACAGACAAAGCAATGCAATTAAAATTAGAAAAGAAAGGAGTTTCAGCTAAGATGATGGTATGACCAGTAGTATACAGCTCAGCTCTCACATAGATACTCTGGCAGGGGTATAGAAGAACAGCTTATGATTGCAAAAACCTAGAAAAAAATGATAGTAAGCATTTTTCTAACCCAGGTTTACATAGAGAGATAGCCAGAAGCCTGCAGGCACTGTGAATAATGTACAACCAGAAAAGCCCAGCCTCAGAACAGAATATTGAAGTCTTTACAGACTTCTGAGTCTGGGATGAGCAAGGAAAAACTGAATTTAGCAGCAGTTTACCTAAGGGTGAGAAGATGAGAATGTAAGCCATCAATATTTGGAAACTGTGGCTTTGTAATCTGACTCCATAAAAGGACTGAGAGCCTGAAAAGCTCAGACAGCAATCAGACTCCATCCTCAGACTCTGAAAGTTTGCCATTTATTTGCCTGAGAAACCCTGAGTTCCTTGAAGAACATAACACTCAGTACCCAGAATAAGCGTTGACAGGACCCTCATTAAGAATCCAAGAAGGCCTCAACATTTCTTTAGAAGTACTAGAGTATTAATTTATGAAAAAATGAGTAAATAGAAGAAGATACTAATGTTGAAGAAGTATTATGGATCCAAGTTTGGCCAAATCACAATCCTACAAGAGAACATCTACACAATTTCTCCAAGCAAAACTTCAAACAAAAGCACAACTTGGCCACAAGATCTACTAGAAATCTTAGAATTGAAGCAAGAGCTAAAAATTATGAATGAAATGGGAACTAAAGAGGAAAGAAGTGGCAATGAAATGAGAGCTCTACAGCTAAGAATTGGAAGATTAAACAGTGCAGGATAAGAAGTTAAAACCTTTATAATAGACTACTAGAAATTCATAATGAACTAAAAAGAATTTGTGACTCTGTGAGAGAAAAGAAATTAGAGCAAAAACAAGCCTGGAAAAAAAAATGTACCTTATCTACTATCAAAAACAACTGATCCAGAAAACCATGTCAAAAAGAGATAACAGTCATCAGACTACCTGAAAATCACTATTTTTTTATTAGGGGGTGGAGCCAAATCTATTATGCTTCAACTCAAAAAAGCAAGAGTAACACTTATGATCTCAGACAAGGATTAATGGTAAATATAGACTTGATTAAAAGAGTTAATAGGGAAACCACATTATGCTTAAAGGCAATATAGATAATGAAATCAGTATCAATACTTGATATAGATATATATGTACCAAATGATGAAAAAGTTGATGCAATTACAGACAGGGGGAAATGGACAGTAAAATTCTGATATTAAGGACCTTACTGTACTCTTTGTAAAACAATAGTAGCTAGCATTTATTAAGTACCTACCTTGTGACTACTGCCATGAAATTAAAAGATGCTTGCTTCTTGGAAGGAAAGCTATGGCAAATCTGAACAACATGCTAAAAAGCAGATGCATCACCTTGCTGACAAAAGTCTGTATAGTCAAAGCTATGGTTTTTCCAGTAGAAATGTATATTAGTAAGAGTTGGACTATAAGGAAGGCTGGAGAAGATTTTAGTTCCTTGGACAGCAAGGAGATCAATCAATACTTAAAGAAATTAACTCTGTTCATCAGAAAAACAAATAATGAAGCTGAAGCTTAAAACTTTGGCCATATGATGAAAAGACAGGACTCATTGGAAAAGACTGTTTTTGGAGAAGATTGAAGGCAAAAGGAAAGGGGACAGAAGAAGAGGAGATGGCTAAATGGTGTCGTGGAAGCAACAAACATGAGTCTGGACAGACTTCAAGAGATAGTGGAGGACAGAAGGGCCTGGCATGCTATAGTCCACAAGATCATGAACACAAAAAACACATGAAAAGTTGAACACAACTGAACAACAACAACAGTGAGCCAGGCACTTTGCTAAGCACTTTTCGAATATTATTTCATTTGATCCTCATAACAACCTTGGGAGGTAGGTGCTGTTATTATCCCTATTTTACAGATGAGAAAGTTGAGACAAACAGAAGTTAAATGATTTGCCCAAGGTCACACAGCTAGTAAGTGTCTGAGGAGGGGATTTTAACTCAAATCTTCCTAATTCCAAATCTATCACTATATCGACACTCTGACACCCAGCTACCTAGATGTAGACAGATCTGACATAAAAATAAATGAAAAGGAAATTTAGATGGAATTTTAGAAAAACTAGATATAATAGCTGTCAGATGATTACTAAATGAAAATAGAAAGGAGAAACATTTCTCAGCCCATGGCATTTTTACAAAAATCATGTATTAAGGAATAACAACTTCACAAAAGAATGTAGAAAAGCAGAATATTAAACATCTTTTATAGCTCACAATACAATAAAATTATGTTCAATAGTGGGTCAAAGAACAAATCATAGAAAAAGTAGTCATTTCATCAAAGAAAATTAGGACAGTGAAATATAAAACTTTGGTGATGCAACTAAAGCAGTCCTTAAGGGAAAATTTATACCACAAAATGCTTTCATCAGCAAAAGAAAGAACAAATCAGTGATTTTGGCATTCAGATTAAGGAAAAAAAACCTGGAAAAGTGGCAAATCCCCAAAAAAGGTCAATAAATACAAAAATGTAAATTCTGAAAGACAGTACAGATTAACATAAATGAAAGCAAAAAGATAATTGAAATGATAAAGCTAGAAGTTAGTTTTTTTAAGATAAGCTAGTTTGCATTTAAAAGAAACTAAACTATCATGAAAAATGAAAGAGAATTAATGACAAATGGAGAAATAAAATTATTAGAAACTATTTTGCCCAATTCAGTGCCAACAAAACTACAAATAAAGTAAATGAATATTTACAAAAACACCAAATTCCTAAAATTTAAATAACCCAATTAGAAAATGAAAATGAATAAACTATAAATGAATTCCCAAAGAAAAAATAAGACTGGATGGATTTAAAAGTGAATTCTATCAAACATTTTTTAAAAAAAACTAATTACAGTATTACATAGGTTGGGATCCTGTTCAAATTCCTGGGGCAGCTAGGTGGCAAAGTGGATAGAGCTTTGGCCTTGGAGTCAGGAGGATCTGAGTTCAAATTTGACCTTTGACATTTACTAGCTGTGTGACCTTGGGCAAGTCATTTAACCCTAATTGCCTCACCAAAACAAAACAAAAAAATTCCTTCACAGATGCAAATATGGTCTTGATCATTGAACCAAAAAGAGAGAAAATGGAGAAACAAAACTATAGACCAATATCTCAAATGATTCCAGCCTCAAAATTTTAAATTAGCTAAGAGGCTATAGCAACACATCCAAAAGAAAGTATACACTGAACTAGGTTTGATTTATAACAAGACTTTAGAGTTGGGTTAATATTGGGAAAACTAAGTATAATCTACCATATTAAAACAAAAATGATTTAAAAATTACTTCAGTGGTTGCAAAAAAAAGCATTTAATACTATTAGCATTTGACAGCATTAGTTTCTCTAAGAAGCAGAGGAATAAATGGACCTTTCCCTAATAAGGTAAATAGCATCTATCTAAACTCAAAAGACAGCATTATATGTAATGAGATAAATATAGCCTTTCTACTAATGTTGAGAGCAAAGCAAAAAAGTGTTATCACCACTATTATTTTATGTAGTTCTAGAAATGCTAACTATATCAAAGCAAAACTTTCACTTTTTGCAGATAATGAGATGACCTGAATGCATAGAGAAACATAGTCAACTAAAAATTAATTGAAGCAATAACTTCAGTAAAATAGAAAGATGTAAAATAAACTCACGGAACTTTGTACAGCCTTTCTGTATACCAACAAAACCCAATAGGAAGTGATAGAGAAATTTAGTTCAAAATAACTGTAGAATATATAAAATATTTGAAAGTCTATGTCAAGACTCTATATGTGCCAGGAACTATATGAATGCAATTATAAAACATTGTACAGAAGTAAAGACAGACCTAAGCAATTAGAGATATATTAATTGCACATGGTTGGGCTGTGACAATATAATGATAATGACAGTAATCCTTAAATTAACTTTTCCAGTACCATACCAAACTATAAAAGTATTGTCTTACAGAACCATAAAAAATAATAAAATTAATCTGGAGACATAAAGGGTCAAGAATATCAAAGAAAGTAGGAAATAGTGGGAAGGAAGAATGATCTCAGATTACAAAGGTATGATCATCAAAACTGGTTAAAAAAAATAGAAAAGTTGCTCTTTAGAACAGATTAGGTACATTACCTATAGGAACATAATCAACTACTGATGTAATGACTAGGACAAAACCTGCTGGGAAAGCTGCAGAGAAGTTTGAGAGAAATTAAATTTAAAACAACACCTCACATCATATATCAAGATAAACTCCAAATTATGAATGACGTAGATATAAAGGCTCACATCATAAACAAAGGAGCAAGGAAGGAAATAATTTTGGACGAGGGCAAGTTCTTAACCAAAAAATGATTGAAGGATATGAGCAAGCAGTTTTTAAAATAAGAAAGTCAAGCCATCAACAGACATGAAAAACATGCTCCAAGTCCCTGGTAAGAGAAATCCAAATTCAAACAGCTTTGGTGTTTCACCTCACAGTCAACAGATTGGCAAAACTGACAAAAATAGGAAAGTGACGGTTGTTGGAGGGAATATTCAGAGCACACTAAAGTGCTATTGATTTAGCTATCAAAATGTAGCTATCCTGAAAAGCAATTTGGAGCTATCTCCAGAGTTAATACAGCCTTTGACCTAGTAATACCACTACTAGACATATACCCCAAAAAAATCCAAGAGAAAGGAAAAGGAGCCCTATATACGAAAATATTTATAGCAGTTCTTTTTGTTATAGAAAAGTATGGGAAACTAAGGGGAGTGCTCATCAATTGGAGAAAGGCTGGACAGGTTATGATATATGAATATAATGGAATGTTATTGTGCACTAAGAAATGACGAAAGGGATAAATTCAGAGAAACCTAGTAAGGCCTTTATGAACTGATACAAAGTGAAGTGAGCAGAACTGAGAGAACAGTACCTACAGTGTTATAAAAGAAAACAGCTTTGAAAGTCCTAAGAACTTTGATTAATGCAATTACCAAGCATAATTCCATAAGACTGGGGATGATGCATGTTTTCCCACCTTTTGACAGAGATGTGCAGAATTAGACATACTCTTTCAGACATGTTTGATAAGTAGAGAGGAAGTAGTGATACTGGTGGCCAAAAATACCCAAAGCAGCATCAGTGAAATATTTTTTTTAAATGCATAAGAAAAAACAGAAGGAATTTCAGAGGGAGCCACAAACAATCAGGACAGTTCTAAAATTCAAGTGTTGAGTTTGTCATATACTTTTAAAAAGTTTTACCTAATAGAAATTTGTGATTTTGTATATAGTCCTCTTTTTCTGCTCTTTGTATATGGAAATATTCTTGTTTATTGTTGTTTGCCAAGTCCATAATAATAAAAACTTTTTATTCTAAGGTTATAGAGGAACACAACACATTAAGAAAATATACAGGAAAATCTATTAATTTAGATTATAGTAATTTGGAATTTATTATTGAGCCTGTATACTATCTAGAATATATTAAAGGGAGGGTGCACTCATAAGCAAAACAAAATAGTGGGATATGGCTAACTTTACTTAATAGAGAAAGCATAGTTTACTGCTATAGCATTTTATAATATACTAATTGAAGTATGCATGTTATCTGTAATTACAGCATTGAGTAGGACCTAACCTTGATAAACATTGTTTGCAGTAAATTAAAATTACAACATATACTTACACCTTAATTTTTTTCTTTTAAAATTCACTTTATAAACCAAAATTTTCCTTTTAAAATATACTTTATAAGGCAAATTTTATACTGACCTTATTTTATTTTTCCTGAATGAATAAAGTTTTGCTTTATTAATAACGACTTGTTTTCTTCTCTGTTGGTAGGATGGTATCCCATTTTTATGGGAATGGAGATATTTGTGATTTAACTGACAAACCAAGACAGGTCACAGTAAAACTAAAGTAAGTTTAACGTTTGAATCATTCTTCATACGTTTTTAATCAACCATGTTATATACAAAATTTTCATAAATAGAGAATATATTTCTAAAAACAAGTCCTATTTAAGATTATACAAGATCTTTGCTTTATTCTTTTTCTAAGTTAAAGTCCTTTGTGGTTTATTTTATAGCTTAAAACAAACATAAGCCTTTATAGTTTGTGGAATTCCTTAAAGTATTTTTTTAATTTGTTGTAGATGTAAAGAATCAGAATCACCTCATGCTGTTACTGTGTATATGTTAGAACCTCATTCCTGCCAGTACATTCTTGGGGTAAGTACAACAGATGTCATGAATTAGTCTTGGGCTAGATCTAGAATCTAAGTTAAGGCCTTGGGGCTGCCTACAAGGAGCACCTACACTATGTTCTCATGTCCAAAAGGAACTTTTCACAGATTGAGAGCCTTAAAAAATATTAGAGACTCCCTCATTTTATAGATTTCTCTGACTTTTTCCATCTCTCAAATGCTCATCCTCCTCTGTTCTGCCTACTGACCTCCCTAGCTTCCTTTAAGTCTAATTAAAATCCCTTCTTTACTGGAAGTCTTCCTCAATCTATCTGATTTCCTATTTATCCTGAATATAGCTTGTTTTATGTTTGTTTGTATGTTGTCTCTCCCATTAGATTGTAAGCTCTTGAAGGCAGGGGCTGTCTTTTGGGTTTTTTTTTTTATTCCCAGTGCTTAGCACTGTGCCTGGCACAAGTAGTCACTTAATAAATCTTGATTGATTGATTAACTAATTGAAGCTAAGAGGTTAAGTAACTTACCCAGGATCATATAGCTATTTAGTTCTGAGACAGGAACTCAGCATTACCTGACTACAAGCCCACACGGCACCAGCTAGCTGCCAGTGTTTACCTCAGACTATCTCAACTTTTTAAAATTCCTGCTCATATCCAAATCCCATGGTACTGTTCTATGTGGGAAGCCTTTCCCAAATTACTTTAACTTTCCTTTGTCTCTGAAAAGAAACATGGGCAGGGGTGGGGGTGGGGGTTGGAGAGGGACAGGCCCTACTCTCAAGGAGCTGATTTTCTAATATTTTAGCAAACATTTATCAAACACTCATTTTTGAAGATAAAAAAAAAAGCAAATAACATTCCCTGCCCTCCTGGGGCAATCTTTTTGGGGAGACAACAAACAGAACAATATATACAAACAAGCTGTATGCAGGTTAAATAGGAGATAATTAACAAAGGGAAGGCACTAGAATTGAGGGATTGAGAAAGTCTTCCTATAAAAGATGGGATTTTAGTTCGGACCTGAAGGAAGCCAGGGAATCCAGAGGGGGAGATAAGGGGAAAGAGCATTCCAGACATGGGGGACAGCCAGAGAACATGCCAGGAGCTGAGACATAGGTGTCTTGTTCATGGAACAGCCCGGAGGCCAGTGTCACCGGATCAAAGTGTACATGTTGGGGAGTAAGGTGTAAGAAGACCAGAAAATAAGAGTATGCTAGGTTATAAAAGGCTTTCACTGCCAAACAGAGCATTTTGTATGATTCTGGAGGTAATAGGGAACCACTGGAGTTTATTGGGCGGGAGAGGGGGTTGGAGGTAACATAGTCAGACATCTGCTTTAGGAAAATCACTTTAGTGGCTAAATGCAAGATGTATTGGAGTGGGAAGAGACTTGAGGCAGGCAGACCAATCACCAGCCTATTATAATAGTCCAGGGGTAAGGTGTTGAGGCCTTGCACCATAGTGGTGGCAGTGTCAGAGGAGAGAAGGATACATTTAGAAGAGATGTTGCAAACATGAACCCAATAGGCAGTTACATTACTACATTTTACAGTTCTCCTTTGAACAAGAAATATCTGGGCAAGCTTTCCAGTTCTGACTCTTACAAGTATTTTTCTCCCACACCTGTAATGGAAAGGATAGTTCATTTTCTTGCCCATTTATCCTCTTGACATCTAAGAATGCCCAAGAGATTTTTGTTTTCCTAATTGTGAATAAGGAACAAAAATAGAATAGTATTTTATATTGTCCCCTCAACAACATTATGAGGCAGATTAGCATTGCTACATAATGAGAAAACCAAAGTATTAAATACCTAAGTTCATTTAATGTCAAAGCCATGTTTAGAATTTGTAGTAAATGTTTCTTCTGCTCTTGAATTTATTATCTTTACCTCATATTATGGCCTAGATTCCTCTTGCAAGAATGTGTGCCTGTTTCTAGGATATTAAAGGAGCTACTTTCTCCAAAGGCTTTTTAACCCTTCTAATTAATTTTTAACCTTACCTATGGCATTAGATCCATGAAAGAGCATGGTGTAATTTTTTTAAACAATCTTTTTAATAGTAAGGTTATATCATCCTGAAGCTAGGTCTTCCCTGACAGAGTAAACTGAGAAAGTTATCTAGATAATTCAGACTAAAGCTTCTTCATCCTGTTTTTATCTCAATTATCCGTATTATTATCTTGCCATAGTTTTTAATATTCATTTTGCCAGTAGTAACCTGGCCTCTGTCTCCTTTAGCTATCTGTACCCTTACTTCCTGCTCCAGAGTTGAGACTTTTATTCCTCCCAAATCTGAACATATTCCCATCAGGATGTCATTTATGATGGAGCCAGAGATCACCTAGAGATTCTTAGCAGAATGGCATGACAAAGTGAGACCTCCAAGTTTCCCAAGGAGGGCTAAACCAGCTCAAGTCATAAACTTGGTGGATCAATGCATATTGTTTTACTGATCTTTATCCTTCAGAATTGTTACTTGGGCAAGGTTTATTTTTGAAACCCATTACCTAGACAATAAGACACAACCTTTAGGCAGCCTAATCCAAAGGAAAACTAAATAAGAAGACTTAAAGAAAAGAATTGGTAAAACTCTATTTGAAAGATGTCTGCAAATTTTTGAATGAGAATATTAGAGAACAAGTATTTATAAGGCTCCAATGGAAGTTATACAAACATCTATAACATGCAAAAATTGATCATTTGCTGGCACATAGAACTCAAGCAAATGCAGAAAGGCAGACATATTGAACATATTTTTGTAGACTATAACTCTTTAAAAAGCAATCAGTAATGGAAATATGAATAAAAGATATGAATCTAAATGGAAATTAAAGACATCCTAAATGATGACTTAGTCAAACACACAAAAAATAAAGAATAAATATTATTAAATAACATAAGATTTATAAGCTATAGCCCAATTGGAGGAACCAAATTAGATCACTGAATGTTTACAAAAGGGTGGACTAACAAAAAAAAAAGACTGAGAGGAAAAATATTTAGTAATTCCAAAAAAGGAACAAAAGACATTTTGAAAATTAAAGATAAGATAAACAGAATTAAACTAATAAAGCAGTGGGGTTTGTTTAAGACTTAGAAACTCACAAACCATTTGCTATATTGATTTAAAAAGAGAGAAAGAAGAAAAACCCAAATTATCAAAAAGTAGCTGTTTGCACCAAATAGAGAGGGAGTAATTTTCCACCCTCTTATACAAAATGGATGAGTATCTACAAAACTGTGCCAACAAAACAGGCAATAACCCAATCAGTGAACTCCTAAGGAGGAGAATAAACCCCAAACTCCAGATCCAGAATCATTTACAAATGACTTATGGCAAACATTTAATTTTTTAAAAAAATAATATTTTCTCCCAATTGCATGTTAAAACAATTTTTTAACATTTGGGGGTTGTATTAAGTTTCAAGTTACAGATTCTATCCTTCCTTCCCTCTCTCCTTCCTCTCCCCCCTCCCTGAGAAAGTAAGCAATCCAATAAAGATCATACATGTGTAATCATGTAAAACATTTCCTTCTTAGTCATTTTGAACAAGAAGACTCAAAAAGAAAGACAGCATGCTTCAGTCTGTATTCAGACAGTATCCGTTCTTTCTCTGGAGGCGGATAGCATGTTTCATCATGAGTCCTTTGGGATCGTCTTAGATTATTGTATTGCTGAGAATAGCTAAGTCATTCACAGTTTTTCATCATACTATATCGCTTTTTCTATGTATAACATTCTCCTGGTTTCGCTCACCTCACTTTGCATCAGTTCATGTAAGTCTTTCCAGGTTTTTCTGAAATCATCCTGTTTGTCATTTCTTATAGCATAATTATATTCCATTACAATCTTATACCATGGCTTATTCAGCTGTTCCCCAATTGATGGGCATCCCCATGATTTCCAGTTCTTACTGGCAAGTATTTTAAAAAGAGAAATAGCCACTCTGTATAACTTATTTTCAAAAACAGAAAAATAAGGCACCCTGAGACTCAAATCTTTGTACAGTCCTCATTCCCAAATCTCGGAAGAATAAAGCAGAGAGAGAACTATATAGACGAGTAATAACAGTAACACTAGTGAACCTGTGTGTGTGTGTGTATTTGTGTAAAGCACTGGCAAAGAGATTACAAGAGGTCAAAAATCATTATGACCAAATTGTATTTTAAGAAAAAATAATGGTTAAAAATTATGAAAGCAATTAGCATAAAATATTAATAACATAATTACATGATTATAACAATAGATGGAGTTAGTTAACAAATATTTGTTAAACACCTACTATGTGCTAAGTGCTAGGATTACAAAGTAAGGCAAAAAACAGTCCCGCTCTCAAGGAACTCTAAGTCTAACAGAGGAGACAACATGAAAACAACTATGTGCAAAAAAGGTATGTACCGGACAAAACTGGGGGGGGGGGGAAGGAAGCAGTTTAGTCTCAGCAGGAAGGCAACAAGATTAAAAAAGACTGGGAGAAGATTTTTGTAGAAGGTTGGACTTCACCTGAAATTTAAAGGAATCCAGCGAAGCCAGGAGTTGGAAATGAGGAGGGTGAACATTCCAGGCATGAGGGGACAGCCAGTGAAAACACTTGGAATTAAGAGATGGGGTATTACGTATGAGGTAAGGAACAAAAAGGAGGCCGGTATCAGTGGACCTTAGAAAATGAGGGCAGGGAGAGAAGAGGAAGTAAGGAGTAAGACTGCAAAGGTAGGAAAGAGTCAGGTAGCAAAGGACTTTCAAAGCCAAGAAACAATTTTCTGTTTGCTCCTGGGTGTAAAAGGGAACCACTGAAGTTAACTGCATATGAGGAGAGTGATGTTCTCAGGCCTGAACTTTAGGAAGATCAGTTTGACAGCTGAATGGAGGATGGCCTGGAGTGGGGAGAGACCAGATAGAGAGAAGAGGTATGCATATATGAAGGATACTACAAAGGTAAAAACAGCAGGACTTTATCACTGATTGGATATAATGAAGGAGAGTGAGGAATCAAGGGTGGCACCTTTGCTTTCAAGCTAGTTCTATGATTCTGGGTAAGTCACTAACCCCTCTCAGCCTCAGTTTCCTCATTTGTAAAATGGACAGACTACTACCACTTGCCTCACAGCAAAGGCTCAAATGAAATTTGGAAAGCATTTTTAAAATCTCAAAATCCTTTGTAAATGTTAGCTATTATTATCTTGCTCTGTTTACCTCAGTAGATCCATATAGATAAATTAACAGAAAATTAGAAGAGAATGGAAGGTTATAGCTCCCAGCTGTGTAGTTAAGGGATATGACATTATTATAAAAGACAAAATTACTTTGATTTTATAAAAAAAAATTCTTTTGTTCAAATAAAATAAATGCAGGTAGAATAAATTATTGAATAGCAAAAAAAATTGCTGAAAACACTTCTGACAAATGTCCAGTATCCAAAATCTACAGAAATTTCACAGAAACCTATAAGATTAAGAGCTATACTCCAACAGTATTCGAAGACTATGAATGAAGTTATCACAAAAAAGAAATGCAAACTATCAGCAATGTTCAGTAACACTAATAATCATGGAAATGCAAATCAACTGACACGTCACCTGGAACCCATTGGCAAATGTGGTAAAGTTATAGGAAAGGACTTGAGAAAACAGGCACAACGAGTCACTGTTAATGGAGGTTTGAATTAATCCAGCAAGTCGGCAGGCGTTTAATCAGTGCTCCGTAGACATTGTGCTAAGCCCTGAGCATGCAGGGAAAGGCAGAGACGGCCCCTGCACTCAAATAGCGCAGTCATCTTGGAATACAATTTAAAGTCATGAATGAAAGAATGCATAAATGAGCATTTATCACATATTTAATATATGCCAGACATTGTGATAAGTGCTGATAATACAAATATTAAGAAACAGTCTTAGCCCTCAAGGAACTTACATTCTAATCAGAGAAGACAGCACATAGGGGAGAGATGACCAGAGACGGGAGGCTTTTTTGTTGTTTTATCTTGTGGAAGTGAAAGGAGATGGGCAGGATCACCTGCAGTAATACACAGCTGGTAAAATAGATTATAATTGTTTGTAATCTTTTAACTTGTAGTGCTACTATTAGGTTCATACCCAAAGGAGATTATTGACAAGAAAACTCCTATTGATACAACAATATTCAGAGCAGTACTGTTTGTAAAAGCCTCATTAAGAAGTGAGTCAAGGGATGGCCCCTTTAATAAAAAAAAAAAAATCAAACTGGGAGAGGAAGACTCTCAGGGTTGCTTACCAAAAGAGAAACAGTTACTGTTTACGTTCACTGAGCCAGGAGGGTCCAAAAAATAGCCATTAAGTGGTGCTTGGGCACCACTAGTTACCTCAAGCTAACTAGGTAGCTTTTGGCCATCAAAATTTACCTTCCTTTGGGCAGAACACCCTCAAGTAAGGGGAGGGGAGGCTAAGTTGCCCAACTGGAGCTGGCCAGCTGGGTCCCCATTCAGGCAGCTCAGGCTACTCACAGGTTATGGTTTGTCCTTTGTTTTTAAAGTGGACCATGTCATCGGAGAGATGATAACATGACTTGTAATTAACTTTGATTTGAATGAGGGAGGCTGTGCAAAGTCACCAGCCTCAGTGGGTGTTGCCTCACTCAAAGTAAGAACCTGAAAAGACCTTAGCTTAAAAGGGCCAAGGTCTCCCACTGCATCCTGAGCCATCTCCAGTCATCCAGATTGATATCTAGCCACTGGACCCAGATAGCTCTGGAGGAGAAAATGAGGCTGGTGACTTTGCACAGCCCTTCCTCACACAAATCAAAGTTAATTGCAAGTCATGTCATCATCTCCCTGATGTCATGGTCCTCTTTGAGAATGAAGGACAGAGCAAACACAACCACCACCTGTTTGTAAAAGCAAAATATGGAAATAGATTGTATTTGCAAATTGGGGAATATCTGAATAAATTGTGGTATGTGACTGTTTTGGAATATGCTATGGCCTTACATTCATCCTTGTAACAAATAGAACTATTAAAGTTGCATATGCTATCAATCAACTTTTTTATGTTGTTTTTATTTAATTAAGGGTAGAATTCATTGAGGATCAACTGGAGGTTTGTATATGTTGAAACAATTTCTAAGAATATTAATAATATTAAAAGAATAATACCGAATTGTTGAACCAAACCAGTGAAACAGATTATTTCCATTCCTTTGTCTTAAAGACTGTATTCACTAAATAATACTTTATTTTTTTTTGTTCTGTAGGTAGAATCTCCAGTAATCTGTAAAATTTTAGATACAGCTGATGAAAACGGACTCCTTTCTGTACCCAGTTAAAAGATTAGTGAAGCAAGAAGAATGAAGATCACTAAAAACACCATGATTTCTACTGTCCATGGCCAATGACTTCATTAGAGTTCTCAGCCAATGGAGCTTGACTGAAGGACTGTTTAAGGGGACTCGTTGAACCACTTTGTGAATATATATGTGTATATAAGAGGTTATTGATAAACTTTTAAAGCAGACAGTTTTGTCTTACTCATTTCATTCGTGTTGTGAATTAGAAATTTTGTAAAAAAAAAAAGTGTTTTTTCTTCCTCTGAGGTAAGAGGATTCAAAAATAAATCTTGCCCAAGAAAGTTAATCAGGTGTCATAACCATTGCTAAACAGGCAAGTTTTCAAACTGACTAATCAAGCTGGTCTTATCGATGCCTACTCTGGTTGGGGAAGTGAACATCATGGCTGAAGATAACTTGACCCTTGATTATCTTCAAGAAATATTGATTTGCAATAGGTCATTTCCTTCTGTGACCAATTATTACTTATTTTTCCAGTGTGTATTAGTGTGGTTGGTTCTTCCCTTCAAAGTACATGTTCTGATATAAACCATTCACTTTCAAGGATTCTGCTGTATTTCCTGTTGTTTTGATCTAATAGTATATACATTATTCTGACTTTCTTGTACTTGATGATTATAAGCTGTATATTTCAGGTCCTGGGATCATAGCTGTAAAGCCAAAAGGAACTTCAGATACCTTCTAGCCAAAGCTCCTCATTTTACAGATAAGACACTGAGGCCTAGGGAGGTAAAGTAATTTGTATAAGGTCACAGAGGCAGAATTTGAACTCAGTCTCTTCTCATGTTTGCAACCAGCCTCTATCATGAAGTTAGTGCTAAATTATTCAGGATTGAGATTCTCCATTCCTTTACTTCTGTTTTCACATCTTGTCATATGTCTTTTAGACATCTTAACTTCATCTTACTTTTAATACCTGTGACAGAAATAAGGAAAAAGTGAAAGAGAGAAAAAAAAGTGATCATAAACTTATTTATTTTCTTACTGGAATCAGTTTTTGTCAAAGGACTGTTCACAAATGTCTTGGTATTTAAAATAATATTTTCCTTAAAATTATGAGGCTTGAATGATTCGATAAATATTTGAGTCTCCTGCTTGAACTGAGACCATAGGATCATCAATTTAGAGCCGAGAGGAACTTCAGATCCAAGGGATTAACCAACCACCTAATTTTAGGAGTAAACTGGCCCAGAGAAGGTAAGTGACTTGTCAGAAAGCCAAACAGTTAAGCAGTAGAGAGCAAGAATTTTAATTTGGACGCTGAATCAATCCTGCTCTGAGCTGATGGAACCCATTTCTATTGGTGAGATTAGTAACTATATAACATCCAGCTTTTCACAGTATAAATTATGTGCTATTTGGATACTTCTTTTCTAGCCTATATATAATTGAAATCATGGCATTTCTTGGAGAGTATGTCCTTTTAGCATTTTTTATAATGATAACCAGAATGCATATTTTGTCCTTTCTAAGGATCTGTTAGATTCAGATTGGTCAAAAGCTGACCCTTGCTGTTAAAATGAAACCATGTAAGGAACTTTGTTGAAGTACAGGCGTGGTGAGGAAAAAAGGGCCAAAATGATTAAAGAAATAGAAAAAAAAATACATGATCAGCAAAGTTAAAGGGATTGAAGTTTAACCTGAAAAAGAGAAAGCTAATGATAACATTAAGTTAGAAGACTCAAACCCGTTCTTTTCTTGTGATGAATAAATCTGGACTTCTATGAGGAATAATGTAGATAGAATAAGAATTTTAGAATTGGAAGGGGCCTCCAACTCATAAGAAGCAGTGTGGTATAGGAGAAAGAGCACTAGATCTGAAGATAACATGTATGTTCAAGCCCTGGTTGTACAACTTCAGACAGCTAGGTGATGCAGTAGATAAAGCCCTAGACTTAGATGTCAGGAAGACCTGAGTTCAAATCCAGCCTCACTTATTAGCTGTGTGAACCTGAGCAAGTCATTTAACCTCTGCTTTGCTTTCTTCATCTGTAAAATGAGGACAAATAATGGCACCTACCTTCCAGATTTGTTGTGAGGATAACATGAAATATTTCAGTGCTCAAGTGTTCTATCTGTGCTCCTCTTTTTACCACTTAGTACCTGTGGGATTGTGGGCAAGCCTCTGCTTTTTGAGGCTTATTTTTGTCACCTGTATAACAAGAATGATAAAACTGTACCACCTACCTCAGGGTTGTTGTGAGGTGTCATCATAATTGTCATTAAAGATTTTAACTGAATTGATGAATAGGCCATGAAAAGACTGACTTTAAAAAGAAACAAGCTTTCTTAGATATTTTGGCTCTTATCCTGGCTTAAAGGCAAGGCACTGGACCAGGAGAAGATCTTGAGTTTCCTTCTAGCTCTGTGATTTCGTTAAAAGTAGGAATTTCCAACCAGTAACCTTTAAAATCTTAACTGGTAACACTCCAGCATGGGCTACTAGCAGTACCTACACACACACATACACACATGCAAACACTGATTATCTCAAGACTTGGATGAAATGAAAATTAACTCCTCTTCCCACAAAAGGTTGGAAACCCCAATATTGGGGGGAGGGGGAATATTTTAACTTTTTAAGAAGCCACAAGGTGGCACTTTCACCATATTTCTTGGAAGACAGTTGGCAATAGTTATGAAGAGCAAGTAAACTTTTTTTTTGGTTAAGCTTTATATCAGTGACTGCTGCCTACAGAGAAGTCTCCACTTCTTGGGGAATCTATTAGTTATAACCATTGTTGTCAGTTGCACAATTGGCTGTTCAATGCTTTTTAAAGTGTATCTGTCCCACACTAATTCCCTCAAAACTGTTGACCTGATAGTAACAAAAACCTAGCCAAAAAGAGCTTTGAACTGAACAGAGAAAAAGTAAATTAAGTTCAATTCATTAAACATATGTTAAGCACCTACTATGTGCCAGGCACTGTGCTAAGTGCTGGGGATACAAGAGGCAAAAGATTGTACCTGCCCTCAAGGAGCTTATAGTCAAATGGGGAAGACAACATGCAAACAAATGTATACAAAGCAAGCTATATACAGGAAATAATTAACAGAGGGAAGGCACTGGAATTAAGAGGGTTTGAGGAAGACTTCCAATAGGAGGTGGGATTTTAATTGGGGCTGTAAAGGAAGCCAGGGAGGTCAATAGTCAGAGGGGAGAAGAGAGAGTGTTCCCAGACGTTGGAGACAGCCAGAGAAAAGGCTGAAACCACCTTGTTCATGAAATAGCCAGGAGGCCAGTGTCACTGGATCAAGTTGTATATGTTAAAGAGTGAGGTATAAGAAGGGTGGGAAGGTAGGAGGGGGCTGGTTTATAAAGGGTATTGAATGCCAAACAGCATTTTGTATTGGATCCCAGAGGCAAGGAAGCCACTGGAGTTTATTGAGTGGGGGGGGGGGAAGAGGGGAGTTATATGATCAGACCTGCATTTTAGGAAAACCACTTTAGTGGCTAAATGGAGAATGGATTGGAGTGGGGAAAGACAAGGCAGGTATGCCCACCAGCAGACTATTGCAATAATCAAGGTCTGAAGTGATAAGAACCTGCACTAGAGTGGTGGTGTCAGAGAAGAGAAGGGGGTGTATTTGAGAGATCTTGCAAAAATGAAATGGATGGGTCTTGGCAACAACTTAGATATGGGGGAGGGGGTGAGAGGTAGTGAGAAATATGAAGGGCAAAGGCCTGCACAACCTGCGGCCCAAGGGTCATTCCAAAGGATTTGGGGCAGCCCTTGAAAAATGTAGAGGAAAACATTCTTTGTATGTAGAGGAAATCCTTTGGCAGGCCATAGACTATGCAGGCCTGGACTAAGGTTGGTTTTGCCCTCAACTGTAATAGGAAAGGTGGAAGTGGGGGAGGGAGGGTTTAGGGGGAAGAGGAATGAGTTCTGTTTTGGATATGAGTTTAAAATGTCTACTGATCATGCTGTTTAAGGTGTCTGAAAGGCAGTTGGAGATGAGAGATTGGAGGTTAGCAGCGAGATTTGGGCCAGATAGGTGGATTTGAGAACATCAGCAAAGAGAAATTAATCCACGAAAACTGATGAGATCACCAGTGAAGTATTATAGAGGCAGAAAAGAAGAGGACTCAGGACAGAGAACCCTGAGGGACACCTACAATTAGACGATGTGATCTGGAGAAGGATCTAGCAAAGGAGACAGAAAAGTAGTCAGATAGGAGGAAAACCAGGAGGAAGTGGTATCTTAAAAACCTAAGAGAATGTCAAGGAGGAAAGAGTGATCAATACTGTCAAAGGCTACAAAGGGGTCAAAGAGAATAAGAATTGAGAAAAGGGCATTGGATTTAGCAGAGAGCATTAGTAATTTTGGAGAGAAAGTTTCAGTTGACTGATAAGGTCAGAAGCTAGATTGGGAAGGGTTAAGAGAATGAGAGAGAAAGTGGAGACACCCATTGTAGAAAGTCTCTTCAAGGAGTTTAGCTACAAATGACGAAATGGAAATTGGATACTTAGGGACAGAGGATCAAGGAAGGGTTTTTTTCAGGATAGGGAAGACATGAGAATGTAGGCAGTAGGAAATGAGACAGTAGAGAGAGAGATTGAAAATAAATGAAAGAATAAGAATGACAGAGGTGGCAATCTGTTGGAAGAGACAAGATGGAATGAGATCACATGAGTTAGCCTTGGTAAAGAGCAAGGCCACTTCATCATGTGAAAAAGGGGAGAAGGAGAAAGTAGTAGAAGGCACCTGAATGATAGAAAATGAGAACAAGGAGGGAATTCAATAGCCTCATTTTGTTCTGTAAAATATGAGGCAAGGTTCTGAGCTGAGAGAGTATAGGGAGACAGAGAGCCTTCCTTTGGAAGAACTGCTGTGGAGAATGGCTAATGGTATATTGACAAGGGAGATGGTAGGATTGCCTAGAAACAGTAAGAGCGCAGTTGAGGTTATATAACATAACTTTGTAGTGGAACCAGTCACAACAGTTGTATGATTTTTTTCCATCTTGGTTTAGCAGGCTTGTGTAGGCACAAAGGTGACAAATAGGGGGAGTAATCCAGGGCTGAGGCTTGGCTAGGCATAATGAGTGATTTAAAAGGGTAGGGATTCCAGAGAAGAGGACAGTGTAGAGTTGAAATGGTTCACCAAGAAGTCAAGATGGGGAGAAAAGGAGAGACTAGAACAGAGGAGATGGCCTGAGAGAGAATTGAGGGGTCAAGGGAATGAGGTCATAGTGAGGATAAAGTGTTATAACAACTTGACCTACAGCCAAGAATTGGTGTTTCCAGATTCTGACTTCACTTCTCTGCATTTCAATTACATATGGAAATTAGAGATAATAACTGGTTTCTACTTTAGAGAGAAGATATGAGCATCACTGAGTTTTTGAGATGTAAGTTTTCAGATTTAGTTTTGCTACACTGACATAATTTAAAGTGGAAAGAATATTTAACTTCCACTTTTTTTAGAGAGTTCTGAAGAATCAGGAAGTAGTTTAACAAGATGTCAGTCTCTTTAGCCCAGCTTAAGAACTAGGTTACTGTAGTCCCCCTTTCACCAAATAAGAAATTTAAGCAGGAAGC